TTTGATAATAAATGAAGCCAGCCTCCAAAAGTGATTAATCTGTCCTGTGATTTTTCTCTCTCTCTCTCTCACACATCACTGTCCAGACACGAACTTATATGTTGGTTGTCTTTACATTATAATAATATTTCATATAATCTAGATATGGAATAAATAGCATTCAATGCAAAATGAATGTGTCTCATATATTGAAATCAAGTTTTATGTGATAAAATATTTGCTTTGTTGTGCATTAGAACCACAGTCATATATTACAAAATAATTTATTGAAGCATCCAGATACTTCACCACGTGACAGCAGCAAGCAGCTAGGCTCCTGATTGGTTAACGCGGCGCGAATTGACGCAGAAGTTCAGATTTTTCAACTCGGGCGGCAGACGCGAATTCGCGTCAAACGCGTGAATGCACAAATAGCACTAACTAAATCATTCGCGCGTAACGCGCTTAACGCGCCAGACGCTCAATTCGCGCGAACTTGACGCGCGAATGAGGCGTATTCGCGTCTACCGCGCCGCGCTCTACGCCTCATTCGCGCCGCAGGAATTTTTTACGCGCGTAACGCGTCTTTGCATTGACTTAACATTGAAATCACTCGCGCCTGACGCGCTATTCGCGTCCGGTGTGAACGCACCATTAAGCGTGCATGAATTGTTACTGCACAAGTGTCCAGCAGGGGGCGCTGTTACGCCGAATGTTTTTTTTTTTTTTTTTTGGAGAGCTACAAGAACATCTTCTGAACTGAAATTAGGTGCAAATGGAGTAACTGATAGTTGTCTGTCTCGGGATGTTTCAACTTATTGAACAATAATGAATAGGCTAGCCTACTGAATTGTCTGGGCTGTGTGATTTTGCCTGTCGCTTAATACGGTGTAGAATAGCCTAGTTTTTGGTCATTTGTTACGTTATTTTATAATCCAAATTATAAAGGCTACTTGAATCAGTTTATTGTTCTGAAAGAAATTAATATTAAAACAATTCACAAACAAGCCTGTTCGAACCATGGCCACTTTATTCAGGACATGCGCAGAAGAAAACTCTGTCCCTCTGAGGGAATGAAAAGCTGACCTCTTGGAAAAAAAAATATGAAGAGGAACCTGATTTTATGATAGGCCTATATGCAAGTGAGTGTTTTTGGAGTCTAATATTTTTTTCTGCTGATTAAAGTTTCATTATGAATCATTATGATATGAGGCTGGGGGCAAGTGTCATAGCCTACTTGTTTTAAAATAAACAGTTGGACGACTTTTCAGTCTCTAAAATGTAATTAACCATTAAATAGTTTTAAAACAAAGGTTTGGTACCACGTGGGCTTTAATCCCAAACGGAAAGGTATAAGAACAGTAGCTAGGCTATAAACTAGAAAACGATTCAGGAATTTTAATGAACATGAATATTTGATTATCACTTCATAGCCTACAGCAGGTATAATATGATAAAGAAATCTAACAATCTTTTTAACAGCTGTTGCTGATTAGTAGGTCTTTTGTTATAACCACTGACTGGCACCCAGATAAATACAGTTTCTCCTAGTAATAATAATTACACAACAACACTTTAATGATACACCATTCGGATATTGCTACTCGCACTTCTGTGCAATATGCGGATGACAGAACTCTGTTGCCATCATGTGGGCTTCTAGCAATAGTACATCTCGAGTCTTATTCAGACTTTGTCATTACATTAAAGCCAAATTGTTTAGTTTTGAAATAAAATCAAAATGTACAGCAAAAATCTATAGTCTCCCATGCTCAACAGAACTGTCAAAATCGCCAGTCAATAAATGAATAAACAATGCCACACAAGTTCTTAATTTTTTTTTATTATTATTTTTCTTAGTTTAGAACATAAAACAGTATTGTGGATCTTACCACATACACTATGTATTCACATAATACACCATACAGCTACAAGGAGAGAGACCAAACAAAAGATAACACTTTTTACATACTGCATACTCAACATGAAAAATAGAACTAAGAACAATCTTTAACTCATAAAGGAATGTAGCTGCCAGTTTTTTTTCTTTCTTTTTTTTTCCTTTTTAGACATTTTGTCCTTTTGATGTTTTAAACTGGGCATGATTTATACTCATAACATTGAGTGCTGATAGAGGGGGCAGGGTAGTGTGTGTATGTGAGAGTGTTGTGTTTGTGTGTATTTGTATGAGTTTGTGTGACAATCTGGCCAAATGTGAGTGAGTAAAGAAAAAGTGAGAATATTCAATTAAATGACAAAATGTATAAAAATTTCTGAATGGGTGAAAACATTTCTGGGCAGTTTAGGTAGCACCAGAATATTAAATTAACAGTCTATTCACATCAAAAGCATGAGTACCTATTCCTCTACCTGACATCATGCTCTTCAAGTACCATTTCAATTATTTAGGGTGATGGCTAAAAAGGGAAACTGGATCAGTTGGAGTGCTTTTTTATTTATAAAAAAAAAAAAAAACTGTGACCATCAGAAGTGTTTCAGAAATAACTATGTAAAAATATTTTAAAATGATCAGCACCATATAGGTTTTCATCTCAAATACTCTCAAAACGAGTTCACATCAATTTAAGAGCCCAAGAAACTTTAGCAACAGTGTTTGCCAAGAGTCATTTCCACAGTGAACTCTAGAGGGTAGCACCATGATTCAAAAGACATTTAGGGTGAATGAAATTGCACCAGGCTTCAAGAGCTGTCTTGAAACTCAGCTTTTTCCTCAACTTCAGGGGTAAGTCTCACATCTCAGAGAACAATGACAATCTAGAGAATATAATGTCAGTGCAGACTCAGAGTTCTGTAAAACTTACCCCACACAATATTTAATTGAACAAAATTCAGCATTACATGATCTACCTGGAGATTTAAACTGAAAGCTGCAAGTTTAAACCTGATTATTTTCGGTTCTATGGGCAATTTTCATGTAAAAGAGATGTACTTCCAATCCCATTATTAAAAAAAAAGTGAGTCCTGAATCATTGCGAACTGTATCAGTCAACATGCTCACATTTGTTTCTTTGTTCTCCATTACTTTATGGTTTATAGACGTGGATCAGATGCAGGGGAAGGAAGCCGGTGACAATGGTAGTACAGAGGTATTGGTGTAAGTACAGTACTCACGAAAGGAAGGACAGCAGTATCTTGAGTACACTGACAAAGCATCCTGCTTTGTGGTCTGTTGTTGACGGCTTGACATACAGACAACTGAAGACTAAAAATTCAGGAATCATTCATGATTAGGCCATCATCCCTCACCAGTTAAATAATCTTACCTAAATATTCAACTATTTACATTTCTATCTCTCCCAATAAAATTCCTTTAAAACAAAAACTAGGTTTCAAGTTGTCAATAATCCGTTCTTATTTTTTTTTCTCATTAAAATCAAGATTAAAAGTGCTTTTATAAAATCCTCTCTTCAATATTTACAATTTCTCTAAAATGAACAAACCCAAAAAATAAAATGACAGCAATCACAATAACAATAATCATCATCATTATCATATAATAAATAATAATAAAAAAGTAGGTACGAATGTGGATGTAGGCAGCAAGCCTGCAGTCTGTAGCGCCCGTGTGTGTATAGCATGTTGTGACTGGGACCAGTGTCTGTACAACATGAGGTAAAGAGCATTAGGACCACTTAATGAGCACCAGGATCTCTCCTCTGTGAGTGTCAAGCATCTTAAAGCCCTGTGTAAACCAGCGGCAGCCCTGCATTGCTCCCTATATGAAGCTCACAGACAGGCATTCACACTGGCACACATACATTCTAACCAGCGTGTATGTTTAAGAATCCATACACAAATGCACGCGCACACACACACACACACACACACACACAACTGAGCTGAAACTGTATGCATTGACATTCAGCACCATGAATTCCAGGTGTGGGTGATCTCTCAGGTTAAAAAGAGAGAAGAGGGCTGCTTACAACGAGAGGGGCAACTTTACAGGAGCATTAAAGACTCATAGTAGCACCAACTCCAAGAAGTGTGCTCTGTCTATCACAAATGGGTAACTACAGATAAATCTGGACATGGAAGACACAGGGCCGGTTGTGTTGGGAATCCCATACATAAAAACAAATATTGGGAACTAAGGGAACCTGTTAGGCAAGTCCACCTTTAGCTTTAACCCTGTGTAGATCTTTTTTGGACAGTCTGCTGACTGAAACCAACCAGATCCACTATTGTTTAAAATCTACTCATCTGTAAATTTGCAGCAATGTTTTTTATGTAAAAATGTTTGCAGCAAAAAAATGTTTGCAGCAAAATGCAGCAAATGTTTTTTTTTAATTGTTTTTTTAAATACTGTGGGTTATCTGCAGCTCTTTAGGGCGGTTTTATGGAGGTGGATTTTTGCTAGCACTATCAGCACCTTAGAGAACTTATTCTAAAAATGTCACATGGGTAGTGAAGGATGGCCAATGAAACTGCAGGCAAATGAGTCAGCACCAATCAGATGACATGATTTAAGGTTGAACCAATCACCGGGACTGGGAGGTCCCTGTCACTGAACATGACTGACATCTGCTGCTAAAGAGCACCCAGGTCCAGCACCTGCCTCGACATTGTGAGGGCAAAATTAGAGACACTTGAGACAGAAAAGAAGCACCATTTGAAGGGATGAGAGACTTCACAGATTTCATTAGAGTGGCACCAAACAGAAAGGCCCAAGCTGGTGTCTGGCCCTCTCTTTCTTGTGCAAGAGTTCGGTGACTAGCGCAATATAGAGCAAATACTCTTTAGTTGCCTTAATGCAGTCACATAAACATGACTCGCAATGATGTGAAGGCGCTTCATTAATATAGAGATTGGTGGGGTTGGGAGAGGTGAAAAGCGCGACAAAAAAAGCTGAATAGCTTGTTCTCATGTTCATAATGAACAAGTGAGAATGAAGAAAGGAAGTCCCTCTCAGTCTGGGGGAGGGGAGGGGGGGGGAATCATATTAATAGAAATTATGAAAAAAACATTAACATTAAAATAAAAAATAGTCATCTTCATAATATAATAACAATACCTGTAATATCAACGTTGACAGTAACAATAGCAATTGTAATAATATTGATAATAGAGCAATAATAATTAGGATCAAATTCACTTAAGGAGGGGTAGCTATGGAAATCCCTCCCACGTTGGAGAGAGCAAGAGCACCATAGACAGCGTGTCCGTTTGGGGAGTTCCCAAACTGCTGCCAAAATTTGAGGTAAAAGAAAAAAAAAGTGAAAAAAAGTGCCCCTTCTTCTAATATCCCTCCCTTGTGGTGGCCTGAGAGGTGTTAGAGCTAGAAGAGGGGAAGCGAATGGTAAAGGTGTAAGATTCATGATCCTTTTCATTTCTATTCCCATCTCTGGCTCTAGGGGGCAACAGTTTACAAGAGTTCACACGAATCGGCTGTAAGGACCAGTGAGGTGTGTGGACGGGTAAGGTGAAACTGTGACTACGGTGGTGGTATGCTGTGTGGGCGCCATTCGTGTCATCACACCCTCTCGTTTGTCCTTGGTTTGTCCAGGGGATGGGCTTGCTGATCCAGCTGCCCACTTGCGCTTTTTCCCATAGGCCTTAATTTCTTCCTGTGAGAGACCCAAAAGAGCTGCTTCTTGTTGCCGCTGTCGTGCTCGCTCGGCCAGGAGTTTCATCTTGGATTCCCACAAAGCCAGACCGTGGCTGGGCTGGTTCAGGTTCTTGTGCTGGTAGAATACCAGGGATATGCGACTTGGGTGAGATCGGTCAGGCCTTTTAAGTGGCGTGGTGGCATGGAGCTCCCGACGGGCACACTCAATCAAGATAGAGCCATGAGCAGGGGCAACTGCAACTCCTCCAATGTTGGGATCCATGAAGTTGTGTTCACTGTCCGACCACACCTCATCCTCTTCAGGGTCACGTTCACTCTGGGTCTCTGCCTCACTGTCCCAACATGCCTGACCATTCGACCTTTGCAGTGAATCAGGAAACAAGCGTCCCTCAGGAGCTGGAGATGGTGTGCTGCTTGCTGCTGATCCACCACCAGATTTCCAGGCTTTCTCCTGGAGTCCCAGAGGTGCAGAGCCACAATTCTCACCTGCTTGGGAAAGCATTTTATCTGGGAAAGCACCAGCAGGGTTGCCTTGCCTGATACCACCAGTGCCGTAACCCATGGGACCGTAAGGACCCCATGCTTTGGGCTGTGGACTAGGGGCAGGGCTACCCCACTGTCTTGGGGTGGATGGGTGTGGAGAGGGTGCAGGTGATGGACAGCTTTTTAGGGATGGGGATGGAGATTGGGCAGGGGATGACATTAGAGTGTTAGGGCAGGGATTCCACTGTTGCTGCTGTGGATACTGAAGGTGTTCATGTTGGTGTGGGTGTTGCTGGTGGAGCCTCTGCTTATCTGGAGTGAAAGGCAAATTAGTTGCAGTTCTGATGTTTCCATCCCAGCCTTTAGAGACTATGCTGCCATTTGGTTTGTGCTCAGGCCAGCCTTCAGGTTTTGGGGTGGTACTGGGAGTGCTAGGGCAGCTCTGAGCTTGCCCATCTGATCTGCCATCATATAGTGGCACATCCATGGGCTCCTGCTTGATGATTGGTGTTGAGCGGTGGGTCTGTTCAAGTGACACTGATGGAGTACGACTAGGTGGAACAGGAGACAGCGAAATCTCAGAAGGGTGTGGGTAGCCTTGAATGGATGCATCAGCCATTTGTTGCTGTGACTGCCCAGGACGGCTGTGATAGGCCTGTGCCAGTGTGGCTTGGAGACACCGAACATCTGGCTTTTGGTCAAATGGTGTGGCAGAGGGTTCTCCAGCTTTGGGCCAGGCTCCGTTATCATATCCCAAGAGCTCAGGAGGAAAAAGTGCACTAGGAGGGTAGTTGTAATATCGGTAGCGTATTTCTTGGAGGTTAGGGTGAAAGCCATTGATGGGGCTCTGTGCAGGAGGTTGGCTGTTGGTAGGGATGCGACCTCTTGCATAGTTACCAGGGTAGGAGAATGAACTGCTTATGTTGTGGGGATCAGGGGTTGTCTTGCCGTTCCTTAGTGCTGGGTAGCCATGTATGGCTCCATTGAAGGGCTGGAAGCGGTCGACAGGCTCTTTTTTGATGGTTGGTTTCACCTCTTGTTTTGGAATAGCTAGATAACAGATAAACGAGAAAAAAAAGTATATATTAAATGTATAATTTATAGTTATTGAGTCCCAAACCTTCAATTGGAATGGCAAATTCTATTCAAATAATAAAAGCACTGCATCTAAAGTCCACATCTCTATATACTTCCACTTAAGCCAAATTAAAGACCCGGAGATTTTGCCCACCAACATGCTAACACATATCAGACGACATCATCCAGATGTGCCAATAACCGGAGCTAGGCAGAAAAACACTACAGGAGTGCAAACACTAATCTCTGCAGTTTTACGTTTTATTTTTCATTATTCTATTTATATTGTACTTTTGTAACACAAGAGATGCATTTCAGTTTTAAGTTTTATTTTTCATTATTCTATTTATTTTTTACTTTTGTAACACAAGAGATGCTTTTCAGTTTTGTAACTGATTTTTTACCAAATACCTTTTGTTTTTTATCAGCCCTACAAAAAAATGACCTATGCAAGAGTGCATTCTGTTTACTGCTCTGTGCTTAATATAATAAAGGGGGCAGTACTGTACCAACTAGGGGACTAAATGCCGCTAGGTGGAACAAACTGTAATTTGCACTGATGCCCGTTCAAAATAAATGAAAAGAAACCTAGCGTTGGTGATTTGTTGCTTTTTCCTGTTGTAACGAACTCGTATCGAACCATGACCCCAAAACCTAAGTACGTCCCGTACCGTAACTTCTGTTTACCGTTACACCCCTAATATAGAGTTAAACTGATATTTAACCACTGACCTTTATTGCCTTGCTGAGGGTGGGGTGACTCCATGTGGTGCATCTCCATCTTGACAGTCTTCTCTGGGGTTTCTGCGAGCTGCAATTTTCTGTTCTTCTTCTCTGATGCTGCCTTTTTGGCCTCCAACCGACGCTGCCGGCAGGATTTAGCAGGTTCCGGAAGTTTTCGAACTTCTCGACGGAAGTTAGAGAGCACCTGGATGGCTCCTGTTTGCATTTTGAGACGCTGGTTCTCCTCACTACCAAATTCATCGGTTGTAGAGATCTTGTAGAGTGGAAGCACATGCAGCTGCTCATCTTCTGGAATTGTGCCCACTGAGCGATTGTCCTCTTTCGTAAGAGTGCACACCTGAAAGTAACAAAATTAGGAAGTGTAAAGCTAAAGTAAATAGCAACTACTTCCACCATAGGGTGCATCTAACTCCTACTACCTGTTGTACGTACACAAACATGTTCACACAAAACAACTCTAAACTCGACAAGTGATCACAGTACAGCCCTGGAGAGCATTCACTTAAAAAAATAAAACATCTAAAATGGCCACTACAGACAAAAAAATACGCTGTATATAATCACACATTATTTACACAAATACATGAAAATTAATAACATACCACAGTGCAGCCATTGTGAAGGTTATGCTGGTCTTTGTGAGCATGGGCACAGAAATCCATGCATGCAGTGACTCCTGAAAATGGCCGTCCTTCCTTCAAACCCAACCGACAGTCTGAAGCAATGTTCTCATTTACACACTGAGCAACACAGAAAAAAAAAGTAAATAAATCAATTATTTTTCTGTTTATTCCTTTAACACTTTCTGATTCAGTCATTTAACTGTATAAATATAAAGTTCTGAAACATTAAAATAATAAACTTTTTGATCACATAAACCGCACCAAACCAATTACAAGAAAAGATGTTAGGTTTAATGTGCCTGAATGGTATGAATTGTGAACCATTCAGTGTAGTATGACTACACTGACTATTTTTAATTGTCAAACAAATTGATTATTTACAAATTTAATTGTTCAACAAACCTGGTTACTGTAGGCCTGGGGAGCCAGCCGCTGATATAGAGGGGCCACATGCGTGGCCAAGTTTTGGAAGTTATCCCTGAGATCATCCTCCTATACAAAAAATAAAAAATAAATTAATCTTGGCTATTTTTATTGGGCTTATACAAATAACCACTAATTACATTAAAGAATTCTTCTCCCCTTCTTTATGAGCAACTAACCTCTTTGGGGTGGTCTCCCTGCAGTCTGAACTTGCGAGGGTTTTTGCTTCGAGCATACTTGCATCCATTGAAGTACATGCTCCAGGAGCAGCCAAAAGAGAAGGAAGCTCCACAGGTCTCTGAGTCCTTCCCTTGGCACGCACATGTTCGACTGCAAAAGGCACCCACCATGAATTTAATCAGGTGTAACTATAAACTCTTACAATAGGTGACATAAGTAGGAGTCATTGTAAAATAGTCTAGAAAAATGTACCTAATATAATCAAAGGAATGATTAAGAAATTGTCTTTAGGTCAAGAAATTTTGACAGTAAATCATCCAATGTAACTCCACCTGATGTTTGACTGATGCACATGTGATTAGGTCCAACTTTACAATCATTAAACAAATTAGTCAATCGGAAATATAATTTTCTTGTGACCTCTTTGCTACATCTCTTGAAGACACAAAAGGCCAAAAATAAAAATAAAAACATCAGTTGTGTTCAAAACTCACTCGTCATTGAGTCCACAACGGCGGCTGGTGGGGTTGCCGTATTTAATGATGGTTTCTGTGAGTTCTCTGTACAGTTTATCTCCTAGAGCACGGGGCACACCTTCCCAGGCCAAGATAACAACAACAATAACAGAATTGGCACAGTGGTGCCCAGGCCGTTGCTTCACAATGCATAACAATTTCTCCTTCTCGCTGCTGCGACGAATCACCTACAGAGAGAAAGACAGTCAGTAACGATGAAGGCATTTGGTAGATGCTAATCTGTAGGTGTGTTTACAGCAGGAAGACAGAAATCCTATGTATGTAACTTGTAAATTATTTTCCCACTTGGGCAGGGTCACAATGTAAAGAAATGATTCGGAGGGATGTCTTTGACTTATTTCATGTCTTGTGACGTTTGAAGTTTAAAATAGTCCCACAGTGCATGCTGACAAGCTATTTTTGAATGCCAGAAGGTTCTAAGAAACATGCTTGTTTGGCTTATGTGAACTCCAAACCATCCGAATTATACAGGACTTTCTTAAGCCCGATTAGTTGTCCGATCATTCAGGTAACCAAATGACTAATTGATATTAGAAATATGTAGTTTTCCCACACTTACCCACTTAGCGATAGGACATCCCTGAGAGCTCTTTCCTTCTCGTCCTGTGTAAACCACCCTCTCAATACGAACGGCCTCACCCTTCTCCCCATACCTGGAAAAATAAAGAGAGAGAAGGGGACATTTGTAACTCAAATTACACAGTTTGATACTGCAACATGAAAACAACTGCCCTCCTCAATCTTAATGAAGATTAAACCACGTTGTATACTTAAATCAGATTTTTGGCAGTCAGAGCCAGTGTGGAGAGTTTGGTATAGCTTCAGTAATGCAATTATGATATTGTGATACGTTGGAATGTATTGAACGGTTACATATGTGACGCGATGCATGTCATATAGTGAAGTAGTTGATGATACTCAGTCCTGATGTTTACACACATTTGTGACCCTGGAACACAAAACCAGTCCATTTTTTTAAAATGAAGATTTATACATAATCTAAAAACTGAACAAATAAGCTTTCCATTGATGTATGGTTTGTTAGGATAGGACAATATTTGGTCAAGATACAACTATTAGAAAATCTGGAATCTAAGTGCAAAAAAATCAAAACATTGAGAAAATCGCCTTTAAAGTTGTCCATTTATGTTCGCGATTGTGCTGCATTCACTTACAAAAATAAATGTTTTATATATTTACGGTATGAAATTTACAAAATATCTTCATGGAACATGATCTTTACTTAATATCCTAATGATTTTTGGCATAAAAGAAAAATCGATCATTTTCACCCATACAATGTATTGTTGGCTATTGCCACAAATATACATGTTCTACTTGTGACTGGTTTTGTGATCCAGGGTCACAATTGCTTGTCTCCTCAAATGAAACTCTCAGTGCATGAGCATGACAGCAGCATGTGGGAAGTATAAATACTGTTCAGCTATAACTACACAGTCTGATGGAGAAGCTTCCAAGATCCACAGGGATGGGCTATAAGGTCAAAGGCCACAAAAGGGTCAGGCTTAGGCTTAAGAAGGCTATAGCCACTGTCTGACAGACAAACAAAGGGGAGGTGGTTCTTCTACCCACCACCTCCCCCTCTATCTCAGAGGAGATGACTCGAGCTATAGAAATTACAGCCACTATGCCCTCAATCAGCACTCAAATAAAGCAATGAGAGTGGACAAGTGTACCAGAGGTCAGCAAAGGTGGAGATACTCTATCCAAATGGGTCAAGGAAGTCTTAGCTTCTGTATGCTTACAGGAGAAAGGGGTAAGACACCCTGTGGAGCTTTTCATTTTCCTCTTCACTTCTGAATGATCACAGGATCTTTAAGTATTAGTAAAAGTTTTCAGACCTAAGGGAATCTATAAAGTAATCTCATATACAGCAAATTAACTTGATTTTCAGCATAAATAGAGTGAATATTTTGAACATATGGACACCACATGACAGCGCTGCTGAAAAGGAAATGTTATTTCCTTTTGCCATGTGTATCTGGAAAAAACAACAACTACAGGATACTCATTGCTTCAAGTTTTAATATACCCTTTATATACAGTCCCACCATTTTCATCACTTCATCACCTCCTTCTTTGATTTCCTCTAAATTCTTTCTCTCTTCCCCTGCTATTCATTGTCTTTCTATCTCCCTGTCTCTCCCCTGTGTCGATCTGCTGATGCCAATATTTCCTGTTACTCCTGTTGGATTCTGGGTCAGGAATTCCCTGGGGACAAGATCATAGAGAAGGAAGGTGGGAGGAGGGGAAGGGGAGAGCAAACGGCAGAAAAGGGAGATGCTTATCCTCGGCTGGTTAAGAATCTGTTGCCAGGATCCAACTGCCAGAGCTTCCAAACAACTCTCAAAGAACAATGAAAGGGTCACTAGGGAACTCTTAAAGCAAATGACGTAGGATCAGCAGTATTCCTCTGTGGTTTCAGAAGTTTAACAACTTCTGGTTTAAACAGTAGAAAAAATATATTGTAATCTATAAATTGATTTTCATTTGAGTTTGTCTGAATGTTACTCATTGTATTTTTCCTCTATCTTTTTGTTTTTGGTTAACATTACTAAAAAAAAAGGACAAGACAGAAAAGGCAATTGCTAGAGTAAAAGCAAGCAGGCTGACCATTAAATTCAACATTCAAACTAGTTTCTTCAGCTAATTCCATTGTTTTAATAGTAGATCAATAAAGTAAAAAAAACTTGATTTTAAGGCGAGACACTACAGGTGAATAGGGTAATTTGTTTAACTAGCAGATATCACCATGAAACTTTCCCAGTTGATTACCTACATTAAGATGAGAAAAAAATGTATTACAAGTCTTCTGTAATTTAATGTTTAAATATGCAAATTGGGCATTATCTCATTAAATATGTCCTAATTTGCATACATTTAAAAAAACGAAATCTGAGTATTAGATAAAGCCAGGTTCAAAATTCTTTTTTCATTGTGTTTACATATTAGATGGGGAAAAAATTACAGAGGGATTGATGTCTCCTTTTGTTATTCTGTAAATCAGAATATACTGTCAAAAAGATTTTCGCCATCTTTTTTGGAATAAAATGTTATATAAATCAGGCTAGGAATAATATATTTACAAATCCCTCTGTAAATGTCTTCATAATATAACTAGGTACAAGACTGGAAAGTTTGGTGTATATAGGTGCTACTGAAGTGGAGATTTCGGACTTGGAGTATGAGAGAAAAGTCATTTTGAGAAAATGGGCTTTAAAGATTTAGCATCAGCCAATGAGATTGCGCATTTAGAGTTAAATCCCCCCTTTTACTTTCACGATTGGTTTCTGATAAAAAGGAAATGACCATATTTGAATCCGACAGCATTGTACAGGAGAGAGAGAGAGCTTTCTAACGGTGTATGTGATGACAGGGTGCAGACAGCGATCGCGGAGCAGCGGGAAGATTTAGAACGCCAACTTTTGATGAATTAGAAATCTACAGAGGCAAACAGACAAAGTGTAGTAAAATAAAGACCTAAATGTGTATTTCTGACTTTTTTTCACCACAAGTCTGAAAGAAGACATGTTATTGAAGACAAATATCCCAAAATCTCAAAATTGACCAGTGAAAAAACCCCAATGTTTTTGCCTGCCGTGTCTCGCCTTAAAGTAGGATCCCACATGGCCCTTACATGTCCTGCAGGTTGTGTTAGCAAACAAACATGCCCACAAATAAAATCTGTGGAGGAGACATTATGGTATGCAATAATGATTCAGAAATCTGTGCATCTCACCTCTCTTCCATCAGTTTTCTGACTGAAGGCATGTCTGGCCCAGACCCCAAATGGTTATAGTATGGGCCCTCGTCCTTTTCTAGGATTTGGTCTAAGGGAGACAGATAGTGAAAGAGAATGCAGGTTAAAGCATGGACACACTCTTATACAATGATGGTTAATTCAGATGTGTAATTGTAATGTGTAATTCCATTAGAACGATAGTATGAGTTAGTCATGTGTGTGGGTGACCAAAAAGAGAGAAAGTCTTATGAAAAAAGTGTTTGTGAGAAAAGAGAAACATCTAGTGGATGCATACTACCTGCTTACTCAGCAGTGTAAAATACTGTACCAACAATACATGTAAGAATAGCTAACAAAATAGGAACAATTTAGTGATTTTGAGAAGCACAGACTATGAGAAAAAAATAAAATAAAACAGTCAAAAATATATACTAGATATATTCTCCCATGTTAAAATCAGAACTGCTGAATGTACTACATATGCAACGTGTTTGGAAGTATCAAATAGCACTGGGTGTTCACTGTGGTGTTGACAGAGTGCTATAAGGATTCACTATGGAAACCTCCCTTCTATTGTCCTTTGCTTTTAGTAACAGTCAAGCTCCAACAAGTGTTCAGGCACAGCTTACTACCCCTGAATGAATACTTTCTTAACTGATTTATTTCATATTTGGCAAATCATTTTGAGAATTACACATTACACATATAATACGGTTTATATAATGAGGACAGCTTATTGGAATATCTTCAGTTGAAATTTGCAAATAATTCTTAGCTACTGTTGCAATGCAATAGGGAAAATTTCACACAGTTCACCAAAACCTCTGAAATGACAAAATAAGAGATACAAGGGCTGAGCTGAGAGGTTGCAGACCATCTCTTCTCACCCTGTCCTCCCTAGTCCCTCCCTTCTTTGATGTCTAGCCACAGTATATCATATGATATATGAGCAGACTCTCTTCATTGTTACTGCCTCCTTTGGAAAACTAGCTGTACTCACTGTACCAATAGCCTGAACATAGACAGAAGGCACTGCACTGCACTGGCCCAAAGAATTACAATGGGCTCCTTTCTTTAAAACTATTGTTCCTCTGCAAGAGGCAAACAGAACAGACTGCAGAGCAATGCACGGCCCCTGATAGAGCGCACATTCTCAGACATGGCCCAACACTACCCTGAGAAATGTGCTGATACAGAAATAATGTGATGAAAAAGAAGCATTTTGGTCTTCCTGAAGGGAATTTTGATGATCAATTTAGTTATAGTCTATTGGAATAACCTTAATCCTAACATATACTGGTAATAAAGCTAACTGCAATTAAGCTAAACTGTATTAAAATATAAATTGAGCTGAAAAATGTCAGTGGTTAAAATAAAGCAAAAAGATAGGGGGTTAGGTGGGTTAGCTAAGCGATTCTCAAAGCCTGATCAGTAGACTGAAAGGGGATCTGGGGTGATGTGCTATAATGTCACAAAATCTCAATGTCTGTTTATCTGCTTTTTTTATTCTGTTTGAGAATATGAGTGTTCTTTCCCAGTTTGGTCCAATATTTTTTACTGGACAAGACTTTTTTGTGTGCTGAATTCTCTCACACTTACCAACGCAGTCACAGATGGGAAAATCAGGTTGGGAATTTTTCCCAGGTGTATCCAGTAGGCTCTTGGTGGGAGTGTCCAGGTAGCGCAATGGTGACTCAAGAAAACCTTTAAGTGAAGGGGAGGAGGGAAAGCTATCCTTGGTGGGAGTATTCAAATCATCCCCCTCTCCGTCTGCAGAGAAACATGCAGTTGTGGAAAGCACAGTCACGCCACCAGATGACTCAATCTTTATACGTTTAGTTGGAGGGGAGAAAGGTGTGATGAAGGGGTGCTGTCGCTCCAGAAATGCATCCTGAGCTACAGACAGGAGCTGCCCAGAAGGTTTCACATCCACCTCACATTCCTCACTTTCCTGTTTGACAGTATAGAGCTCCTCAGATGGCAATGATGTTTTTTCTTTCAGTCTTTCAGTCATGTCCTTTTGACCTTCATCCATGGGCTCTGACTCATTTGTGGGAACAGGGGGGCAGTTAACTGACTGCTTTGGGGATGGTGACTCGGGTCTGGTTTGTCCTGAGTTTGGTTGTGACTCGGTCACCACTGGCTGAGCAGGGCCATTCTCTGGGGTCTCTGCTGCAGATGCTGAGGAAATGGTGTCCCCAAACTCCTCCTCAAACTGGCGAATAAGCTCTTCAAATTTTGGATCTAGGTTACTGAGGCCAGCCAGAGAAGGAATTGGCTGTGTTGTAGAGGTTTGAGGCGTGATACTGGTTGTTGGGATGCTGTCATTTGGCCCAGCTGGGCCTGAGCAAGCGATCACCTTCTGGGTGGATGGTGCTAGAACTGACACAGGGGTAAAAGAAAAATGAGTGTTTTCAGAGATGGGTGCACTACTGCTATTCAAAATGGATTCCTGAGATTGAGCTGGAGCTGGGTGGCTCTCAGCCACCTGAGAGGGGGGAAGCCCAGCTTCCATGCCTGGTAGAGATGGAACAAGCTGAGAAAGGGATGGAGCATATCCTGGGGAGATGAAGGGAGGTTTCGATATTGTAATCTGTTTCTGTGGGAGAAAAGTTGGCTGGGAAGCTTTCTGTTTATGCTTCTTGATAACAATCTGTTTGGGTTTTGGAAGAGGTGTGCCTAGTGGACCAAATAGCCCACCCACTGACTGCTTGAGAAGAGGAGAACTTTGAGCACCCTTTTTCTTTTTGGGTTCTTTGTGCTCCTGCTTGATGGTTACAGGACTCTCTGGAATAGACTGTGGCCACCATTTACGAAGGTTCTGACAAGCCATGGGGGCTAACGGACTAAAGGCAGGAGAATTAGAGAAGAGGTTACGTTTATGATGAAGGTGCTGCTGTAGTGCTGCCTGAGTTGAGTGCCTAATTGTGGGTGAAAACTGCTGACCCTGGAACGGCTGCTGGCCATTTACCATCCCCTCCTGAGCCATGACTGCACATCCTGAGCCCAGGTACTCCTTTGTGTCTGCCTCCTGCTTGATGTGAGGCATCCCAGCAAGGCTGCCCTTGCGACCATCCTGCAAGCTGGGGTGAAGGAGTGGGAACTTGAAGGCTGAGTTGGAGTACTTTCCACCGGTGTCTCCAAGGAGTTGCTTTAGCTCGGACACTGGGTCACTGCTGCCTTGGGATGGGTTTACAAAACGAAGCTGGGACTCTGTGTTCTCCATCATCCATGGGTTCCGAGGGGAGCTTCTCTCGCAGCTTCCAGCTGTGCTCTGGTTCCACTGCTGGGGTCGGGGATTGGGGGAGGATGGGTGTATGCTTGAAAATGGGGACTTGGAGGATGGGTATGGGGAAGCATAGTGAGATGAGTTAGGTGCAGGGGCCTCACCCTGAGACTGAGGTCTCAGCTGCTCCCAAGATGATACCTCCTGGGGGTAACGTCCTGAAGGGATGGGCTGTGACATAGCAGAGGAGGAAAAAAAAGGACCAGATGATGAAGAGACCACTTGTGGCATACTCTGGGGGTAGGAGGTTGGCAGATGCTGATGTTGATTTGCAGGTGAAGATTCGCCTGGAGGAACAACAGTTTGTGGGACAGTGGCAGACAACTGAGTCAGAGCCTCAATTGCAATGGCTGTTTGCAAACTAACATTTCTTTCCTTGGCTATGGACAGAACACTAGGGGAGCAGGGAATAGGTGCTGGTGGGCCAAAGGGTCTAGGAGCAGAAGGCTGGTTAACAAGGGGCTGTGGATTTGTGTCTTGCATACACAAGAGGTTACCTCCACATTGTTGTGGTTGGGATTGAGAATAGCGATGCTGTGCATGTGGCTGTGGAGGAGCACCAGTGATCTTACAGGAACCTTTATCCTGGGAGTTAGCCACCATTTTGATTTGCTTCTCCAGCCACTCCAGGTAGTCAGGGCAGTCTGGGCCATCACAATCACAGTTAGGTGGCTTGTGGCCATGACGGGCCTTGCTCAGTGCTGCTTGAAGAGTGTTTAGATCTTCAGGGGGGCACAACTCACCATCCACACCTTTCTTTCTGGCCTCCTCACCTCCATTAGACATTTCCTGATGGAACCTTTCATACAGCTGAGCTGTAGGAGTCTGAGAAGTTTGATGGTTGGTGTAAGGTGGCAGTGAGCCAACTGTAGCAGAAAAGGCCACCAGGGTTCGTGCATCCTCCATATCCACATCATTCACTGGAGTGCTAGCATTTTGGCCACTCCAAGCACCCTGTTGAGTTTCAGGACTTGAAGACTTCCCAGCTTGCTCAGGGACCCAGCCCGGTGTCTGGGAAATACATCCAGCCCCCTCATGGTAGTTCTGCTGGTGTTGCTCCCTGGCCACGCCTCTGACTTCTTCATCACAAATATTTTCTTCATTTGCTGCATGTTTGCTAAGCCCATTAGGCAGTTCATGGTTTAACATGCCTTCTTCCAGGCGGTCATGGGACCCAATTTCCATCTGGCCTCTTCCTCTGGGGCCATCCACTGAACCCACCACAGAAACAGTCTGTGGAAGAGTAAAAAACACAAGTTATTTGACAATTTAGCAAACTGACAGTTTACTTATATGTATCGAGTGTGTGTATCCTTTTCAAAACTTTCTCAAACCTTTTGTATCAACGATGTGTTATGCATTGATTACACACAAAAATGTAGGGCAAATACTATTTTAATTTATTAATTGCGGACTAATTCAAACAAGCATCATAGCATTTTGTCCTGGAATAGTGACATAATCATTGACCTCTATTAACTAAACAACATACTCTGACCTGTTGGACTGATTCATCTTGGTATTCTCTGTAAAGTTGCTGCCTGATTTGAGAGAAGACTACATAATACTTTGTACAAGAAAGAGTTGTCTTATGTTCTTCTTTTGCTCTCTCTCTCTGTTTTTTTTTCTCTGCTCACAAGAAAACACATTCCGCAAAGAGAACATAAAATTGGTTATCGCTGTATTGTCTAATTTAATTTGTTATTAGATGCTACTAAAATAACATGAGCCTACCTGTACATTTTTCAAGGTCACAATGAAGACTGCTTCAACCAGATCAACTGTCTCATGCAAATACAACCCCATATTTACAATTACAATACAACGGGTAATGCCCAAGTCAACATACTGAGAAACTCTTCCTGGTTTTCAAATATCCTCTTTGCTGGTCTCTATTGTGCTTTTTATCTTGAAAGGGTTAAATGAAAGTTGTGGAAACTCCTAACTGGCTCCAGATAAGTTAAAGAGCAATATCACCATGCAACCATTTAGTGGCACTTTTAAATGGTAATGTATCTCTAAAACACAACATATTATTATAAATGTATGTGAATGATTTGTATAATCCCTTCAGTGATCTTCTATGTGAAAGAGTGGATAAAATGAAAACCTGTTTGCTGCACAGAAGACAAACACAGAGAACGTTGTCCATGGTGAAGGCATATCTTAGAAAAGAGGACCTTGTGGTTTTATCATGTTAACTAAATAAATAAAAAAACACCCATGAGAAAAACCCACTAACATACATAACTCTGTCTTTTCAGATGTCGTAAGCAGTAATTCTGTAGGAGTATCTACAATATTTGAGTATAAGAATTTTTCTTCCATTAAATGAAGTTGTTTAGACTGCGCAGACAAGACGTGCATGTTCATAAGCACCCTTCTAACCCAATAGCTCTGCAACTAAATGTCTAAACCTGCCTAAATGTCTGTTAGCTCTGTAAATAAATGTCTAAATCTCTCTGATTGTGTCTTCGTTGTGACAGGTCTTTAAATGGGTTTTACTGATTGGCAAGCTGTTCAGACACTTTGAATTCACCTTAACTGATGGTGCCTGTTTGGACCCCCATGGGCAGTGTGCCAGCTACTGAGCAGACAGTTTGTGTTCGTGTGTGTGTGTGTGTGTGTGTGTGTGTGTGTGTGTGTGTGTGTGTGTGTGTGTGTGTGTGTGTGTGTGTGTGTGTGTGTGTGTGTTTCAAAGGCATGTGTCAGACTTGTACCCCATTTACCAACAATGGTCACACTTTAACTCTTCAAAAAAGCTGAACCACACAATTGTTACAACAGGCTATTTTTCCTCTTTTCAGTGATGCAATAAACACCCATGTGCATACCATCACGCAGAAAACTTTCACAGTATAGTCTTAGTGCCACCGCAGAGTTCACTAGAACACACTTACATGCAAAAAAAGCACGAGATAGTTTGCATTCTAAAGAGAGAGTTGATTTATTACATGCGCCATGCAAGATGTGTATCAGATTCTTTGGATCAGTGACACATATATATGCCGTACACCTGCAAATACACACCTGTCTGACAGCAGAAAGCACGTGGTCAGGCAATTATCTGAGGCGTGCCAGAGCTTTGATTGCTGCCAAAACTATCTCCCTCTTCTTACAGACACAGAGCTACTACTACTACCAAAACATTAACACGCCCAACCAGAAGAGACTGTAAAACCGGTTTTACTCAGAAGTATGAGGTGCCCTATGTTGCATCTACTATGTCTCAGAAATTACACACAATTAACAGCTGTCTCAGAGGTTGACAGCACAAAGCAAAAAAACAAAAACAAACAAACAAACAAACAAAAAAACAGAGAGAGTGTGGATGGGGTTTAAAGCCTAGTAGTAGACAGCTGAACACGGTAAGACACACAACCTTACCCCCTCCCCTTCCCCGTACTCCGGTGCCTTTCACAATCAAAATACAAAGCTCAAGCATACAGAGAGAGAGAAATGAACAGATTGGCGTCTACTCACAGTGGTCTAGCTGTCCCAATAACGTTGCTGCAGAGACAAAGGTGGGAAATGTGACCAAGAAAGTGCATGGAATACAGCTTTCGAGACAGTGCCAAAAAAAAAGAAAAAAAAAGAAGAAGCAGCCAGCTGGTGGAAATCCACTATGGGTACTTTCTCTTTCTTTCTTTATTTCTTTCTCTCCCTCTCTTCTCAGTCAGCCAGGCAGTGCGGCACACGGACACACACACACGCACGCACGCACTCTGTCATACACACCTCCCCCACGCACACACACTCACTCCGTTTCTCTTCCTATTGCCACTGTCGTTTCTCTCTTTCTCCCTCTCTCATTATGTCTCTCTGCTCCTCCCTTCCCTTTTTCTATATTCTCCTTCTTCTTTCTGCTTTTTGCATTCACCGTCTGCTTTGCCTTACAGCCCCCACCTCTCTCTCTCTCTCTCTCTCTCTCTCTCTCTCTCTCTCTTTCATTTGCTCGTTCACTCCCTCCCCCCTCCCTCGTTTTCTCCCTCCCTTCGTTTTTCTCCTCCCCCTCCTCTTTTCTGTGTGTGCAGAGTGAGAGAGGCCATTATCTGAGCCACACTGGGCACGTACGATGGAATGGTGGATAGTGCAGGAAATACAGCTGCTACAAAGCGTAGAGAGCAAGAGAAAGCACGAGTGGCAGACTGGCTGGCTACAGTGCTAAATAAAGGACTATATGAACACAGATCTATGGCTAATGTGAAAGCAGAGATGCATGCAAAACAAAAATGAGCAGCTATATTATTGTAGAGGACGGTGTTTTGGTCTCCATAAGATGGAGGCTGCAGCGGTTAAATGCAGACATTTACTCAGTCATCACACAGCAGCTGCCATTTAGTGTTTAAGAATAATACCAACAAAAAAAAAAACAAAGAAAGGGAAATTACTGGCTCCGATATATTTATTCCTGTCATTATAGTGCCGTCCTCAATAGTTCACAGTCTATTTGAACTCTTTATTGACATGAGCTTTATATTGCAAAACATCACAAGACGTTGATTTCGAACAGATGATAGCTGGCAGAAGATGCTTACAGACAAAACATATACAAGTGCTGCAGCTTAAACCAAATCATGTGAGACTGTCAAACCGTGAAAGGAATGGCAGTCATCTACATCATATACGAAGCATAAACATGGGTGCGCTTATATAGACCACAGATATAAGAGTCGAGCAGCAGCAAACAAGTCTTGAAGCCGAGGAACAGGATGTGAGGGGGAAAAGCACAGCGACTGTCAGAAGCAACCACAAGGTACAGGGAGGTTAACGGGAACCGCAGAGAAATAGGAAGCTCAAAGTTTTGAGGGAAAAGACAACGAACGACACATAACACACATGCGTTTATGCACAAAATTTGCTGCTTTTTAACTATTTTGACTTGTCGATGGTGTTTATTCTGCTCGGAAGCGAGACAGGGTGACGAGGTGCTATTGCAGTGATACAGAAGGTGCAATGTTCGTGTGCCGGACTCAAGGCTAGGGAAGCGCAGAAGATAGAGACCACGATGGTAAGTGAGTGTTCAGTGTAAAAGATGAATTTGCTATCAGTCTCGCAGTCTTAATCGTGTTCTGCTTTCCCTTTTCTGAGCCACTCTTGCGCTTTCTTTCCTGTCTAAACACTTTGTTTCATGCCAACCAATCTCTTCGAACTCCGAAGCTTCTCAGCTGGGTCTCTCACACTCGCTCTTTCGCTGGCATCTTTTCTATCTTTACCTCTCCCTTTTCTCCATGAGCTTATTTTTGTACTCGTTCTGTTCAGAGAAAAATATGGCAATCGTCTTTAACAGTCGCCAGAAAGCCCCTCGGTAGAATCGCTTTTGTATTATGAGGGTGCGATCGCACACTGCGTAACACGCAATTTGTATTAACCCGCATAACCCCTTGCCATGTCCGCGACTCTCTCGTTTTGTCGTCTTTCCTTATGATCAGTGTCTTTCTCTCCCGCTCGCTCTCTTGGTGTTGATTCCTGCCAGTTGGATCGCCACCATCAACACAGTGAAGGCAAGGCAACCCCATGGACAAACATACACAGACCCAAAGCCCGAGCGGAGAGGTAAAGTGCACTGTCACCAGCGGAGGAGAAGTGCGTGAATGAGAGGAAGGGAAAATGGAGAGTGGGAACCGTTATGACGTTGCAGTTGCATCACCACAATCATTCAATGCTTCCAGTTGGCGATAGAGGGCTGGGCAGATGTGTCATAACACAAAATGTAGATGTGCCTCCCCTTACACACATACACATTAGCCCGTCTAAGCGTAATCCCTCACTCCTTTCAGCATGACACAGCAGTTCTTGTGCCCTGCAGTTACCTCACCCTTCCTATTACAAGTTACGGCGCATCTATGCTGAGAGGAGCGAAACCGGAGCACTAACAAAATATTCAGCAATGCGGAGCTGACATAACACTGATTACATGGCAACATTCCTACAAGCATTATTTTGTTAAGCCACAAGATGTCTTTGGACTTTATTTATCGGGTGAACGAACAATGAACCTTTAACACACCATAAATAGACATAAATCAGGTGAACCAACACAATTTAAGCATGTACACATGCAAACATACACACATTTAAAGGGATAGTTCGCCCAAAAATGTTAATTCTATCATCATTTACTCACCCTCATGTCGTAACAAACCTCTATGACTGAACTTCTGTAAAACAGCATTGGAACCCACTGACTTTCATTGTATGAACAAAAAAACAAAAACTAAAATTTGAAAATGCATACAGGTTTGGAACAACTTGAGGTGAGTAAATAATGACCGAATTATCATTTTTGGGTGAACTGTCACTTTAACAAACTTTCTTCTCACCTCGATGCAAGACGTGACAAGCTGGTTGCTAATATTGAAAGACAAAAATGATACATACCTGTCCTATATGATCAGCTCTACTAAACCAAAAATCTTAAAAATCTTGATTCTTCACAAGTATACACAGGGGACCTTTGCTTCTGCATTACAGTAAATGCCTGAGATGCCTTGTGTCTTTTAAAATATGAGAAATCTAAACCAAGCAAGCCACAACATCCACAGTGTCACAAGGCAGCTGATCATTGATCCAAACACAAGAGACACGGGGGATGTGAAACTAAACAGGTCTCACAAAGACCACGGTAATACACGGAAAGATTTGGCATTTCAAAAAGATACAAAAGGTCACCACTTAATGCTCTTTCTTGCAAGTTACTACTCATCAGATGAGTCTCACCTGAATCTTAAACCACCATTAGAATACAAGATGTTCAAGGTCAAACTTAAGATAGGAGAGTCGTTGACCTACTACCACTGGTAGACAGGAACTGAAATTCGCTACTAGGCAGATGCAGCTTGCTGTGGCAGTTATCCTGTAAAAACTATGAACAGACATTGTGTTTGACGGCACAACATTGATAAGAGTATGCCTGGGATTAGTGATGAATTATACTGATAGATTGGCCAGGCTGATTTTGAGAATACTGAATGTAAAAGTTCTGGGTTTCAACCACCAAGTCTTAGGAAAACAGCACAAATAATTAAACAATGATTTCCAATTATTTACAAGCAACATCTAAAGAATACTCATGTTTGATTAGGAACTCAGTTTAAGAATGTTCATTCTCAGATTTGCAAGTTCTCTGAAAAACGATGACTGACACCTTAGTTGTTACGGCATTTGATGATTTACGGTCTTTTTGTCTTTTGGTTCATCAGTGTAGTGACTCATCCGTTGCTCACAATCACCCACATTCACCAAAAAGGGAGAAAAAAAATAAATCAAACCCCCACCCACACAAAACCACCTACAGAAAAACAGAAAGAAACACACACACACACCCATAGGAAACAAGCAAACACATAAACACACACAAGGATTCAAACATTTCTGGGAAATAACTCATGAAGCATGTGAGGTTGAATATGTGTACAGTGTTTTAGGATGGAATGTTTAGATTCTAAATACTGCATTTTAAGTATTCCGTATATATATCTACATGAAACAAACAGTTCAAATTAATTGGATTAGAATAAAGAAAGATAACGGTTTGATCTTGTTTGGTCTGCTTAAGCACAGTTTTCCAAAAGCCTAGTATCCCCAAAGAAAATTCCAACATTTCAGGAAGAGTATAGACAAGAATTAAAAAAAAAGGGTAACAAAGCCAACTTTACTTTAAAACACAGCAGTCTTTTTGTCTATCACAACAAGTTCATCCACACTCCCTTTCCATTTCTCTCTCAGAAACCCTCCCTCCCTTTCATTATCTATATTTGTTTACTAAACCTCTCCCTCCCGTCCAGAGCCGAAACACTTTCACATGAACAGATAAAACATGCCTGCGCTAAACTAGGGGCCCAACGAGAGGCTAAACCATGGAAGAGTTTCAAACATGCTTTCTAAGAAATGTATACGACTGCGTGTGAGGGCACACGCGCACACTAAAACGAATGCAGAACACTTGTACGCTTACATGCCGATGCAAATAAGCTTAGGGTCACTGAGTGCATTAGGTCTGGGGCAGATCATGAATGGTACAGACAGTCATTGAGACTATCAAGGCATCTACTTCTGTTTCTCTTGAATTACCTTTCCATTTTTCCCATCTTCTTTGTAATTCCTATTTCTTTTTTTTTTTTGTATTTCCCATTTCTTTAGTTCTACCTATTGTTCTCAGCCCCCCAACATTTAACTACCTCCCTCCCTCCCAACCTCGTCCTCTTTCTTTTTGCGTGCACCTTATTTTTGGCATCCCCTGACGTGATCCCTCTTTTTTTGGGGCAAGGCTGGTAGGTCTGTGAGGTGTAGGATGTTAAATGTAAATGTCTGTGTGTGCGTGTCATAATTCGTCCTGCCTGACACATGGCACATGCAAGTCAGCACGCACAACTCAGCTGAGAGCCCCCTCCTCATTTTACCCCACAAATACTCACAAAGGGAAAGAGAGAGACAGACCAAGAGAAAGAGAGAGAGAGAGAGAAAGTGAGGGGGAAGCAAAGCAGAAAAGACAGGGAAAGAGGGGGAAGGGAAGGGAGGAGCGACCCTCATCACTCAGTAAGATGGTGGGAAAGGAGGAGGTATGAGACGGAGGAATAACACAGCCTAAAGAGTGGTCTTTGTGCAAAAAGTTTTGGAGGAGAAGGAAAAAAAACTGGTGAAATTCGATGAGGGGAATACAAGAGAGAGGAAAGCAGAAAATAGCAGACTGGTAAAGAGATGAAGGCTTGAAAGAGAAGAAGGACAGAGAAAATTGAAAGACAATCATGTTGAAGGAGATAGATAGATGACATCATGCAGATCTCTTTCAAAATAGAAAGAAACTAGATCCATAACCCAGTCTAGGTTGGCTATATATTCTCATATGGCTGAGAAATAATACATCAAATAATTTTTTTTTTTAAAAAGCCTCAAAACTCAATCTATGTTGGGCAAAAATCTGCCACTACCCACTATTAACCCCAAAACCTTATTCTGTTCAACATCTATGGCAAAAGCAGCAATAAGAGAGAGAGAATACTATCTCTAGACTCCAGTTCTGCAGTGGCGTGTTGCCAGCCTTGTTTCTCTCAGGAGTAAGGCTAAGATTAGCTCCCCATATGTTCAAGTCAGGCGTAGCTGCTCTTAAAGGGCCAGGGTCTCTTTGAAAATGGTACAAAGTACACTGCAGCAATGCATGGGCTGTTTTGTCTCAGCCTCACTTTCACATACAGTTGAGCACAAATGCCTTCCAGCTCTCAGCCAATCTGTCTTTCATGGATGTACAATCAATCAATCAATATATATATATATATATATATATGATATGTTATAAACATGTATTAACTGTTTCATTGATAATAATTGATGGGGTTTTTTTTAGCACCAAGTATTGATTAATATTAATCAGAGTATTAAAGTGATAACTGAAAGATCATATGACACTACGACTGGAGTAATGGCTGCTTAAAATTCCGCTTTGCCATCACAGGTCTAAATTACATTTTAAAATTATATTTAAAAAACAATAAGATTATCTTACCGACCCCAACGGTATTGTCTGTATTTGTGTGTGTCTTTGTGTATGTGAATGTTGCATGTAGAAATTACAAAATCACCAGGGGTCAGGGGTAAGATGAAAAGAGAGATAACACACCGATACTGAACTAGTTCTCAGCTGATGTGCCACAGTACATCCTGTCCATTCATGTTTCATTAACTGCAGTAGTGCATTCATCCATTCCACAGGAGTCCATTCCAAGGGCAAACACATTAATGCATGTGTGGTTGACTTTACCCAATATAAGTTTGAGAACAACTAGGTGCAAATGTCCTGGATAGAGAGTATTTTGGTTAAAAAATGAATTAGGACACCAAACAATGGTCTCACACCATGTCCTCCTTCCTAGCATAACAAACAACATGCTAGAGAAGTATGTACTTTCTCTGCCACTAGAGTCCATCTATCCTCCACCTACTTTTTATGTCACTGGCCATAAAAACAGATAGCCTCTCCCAAATTCAAGCCATTGGTTGTGATGCACAAACAAAAGAGTAATGTCTCTGCATGTTAAGCTGAGAGAGTATTTTAACATCAAAATTCAATTCAATTTTAACCTTTAACTATACAAGTTATTTTGGTTATTGTATTATCTTAAATGCATCTGCAGACACATGCAATATTTCAGGGCATGCATGATGGTTCAGCACAGAGCAGTTTCAAAGCAGACAAGGATCTGCAAGCATTTATTTTAGCTGTATCAGTTTCCAGCCTCCTGATATTGATCAAGCCTGGATAGTTGAAGCTGACGCTCTTAAGGATCATTTGAGTATGTTTAGCCTGCTTTGTGAAGAATCCTGCATATGTTTAATGTTAACACCTTTCTCTTTCTGTCTTATGCATGCACACACACACACACACTTTTAATAATAATACTAAAAGTTTAGTACGTTTATTTAGCATTTTGAATTACAAGGACATTGGCATGTCCTCATAATATAGGGGCTTGGCCAGGATCCTGAATACACACCACAATATAAGGAGTTTGGGTCCTCATTATGTAGGTCAAACCAGTGTACACACACACACACACACACACACACACACACACACACACTTGACATTTAAAAATGCAAAACAGGATGCATGGTCTGCTGAGGTGTCATTTTTTGGAAGTTAAAAAAGTGTTTGTATACCAGATTAATTTGTAGAGACAATTATCTACAGTAGTTCAGTCATGAAAGTTTATAGGGTGCAGGCTGATTTTACATGCAATCTGTAAGCAATCACATGACTGCATAGCACAAGCTGACTGGCCTCTATTGATCCTGCAGCCAATGAGATTGCTTGCTCAAAGTTTAAATGTCATTTGTGACCCGTGCTGGCAAAATTAATCACAATGAGCAAATTTTCAAAAATGTTCTTGTTATATTCATTCTCATTAAAATAAACTTCAAAATGAATATGATTTGTTGGAATCAGACAAAAAAAAGTATTGAGCTACACCTGTCTGAATCACCAGTCTTCAAGAAGCGAGCAGAAAAATTGCTGCGCTGTAAACCCAGATTTTGTTTCTAATTAAACTTACGAGTGATCTTTACTTATTCTTTTATGTTTAGTAAAAACCTGCTATCATTACTAAACAACATTAGTTGTTTGTACTATTTAGCTGAAAGATTCACTGCACTAATCAGGTTTAGCAGAGATGTTTAGTTTCATAAGGAAGGGGAGGGGGCTAATTCACGTGAAAAGACCCGCGTTTAACGTGTGTCCTGTTATTTTGTCACACATAGACATCAACAATCAGCATATGAATCTCAACAATGGTGACACCCAAATGAAAAGCTTCATGTTGCAATGCATGCTGGGTAAACATTTTTAGAATGTGAACTAATGATTTTCAGTAAAGACTACTAATGTAAACTTGATTCGTCTACTGCACCCACTTAAGATTATAAAATGTTTAGTTTCAGCTTGTGTAAAAAGTTAGGGTTCCATGTTAATACAACTCAACATGTTTAGTTTCAGCTTGTGTAAAAACTAAAGTGGTATAGGGCAACGGGTTTCCACGCGATTTGTGAGTAAAGTCAACTAATTCGGGTTAAGAGTGCGGGGGGGTTTCAGGAAAGATTTAGGAAGGTACACCTCTCAGAAAACATACAAATAAAGATAATTGTTGGATGTCTATTTATGCAGCAGCAACATATATTACAAGCTCACAGCAGCGTGTCTGTGAATCTGTTAGCAGTAGTAAGTAAGAACTTGCTCTGCAGCAGCAGCAGAAATAATCAACAGCAGAAGCGTGGCAGATCTGGGTGCAGATCTTGATGTATTTGGTCACCAAGACCAAATACATTAACATTGCCATTTTCAATAACATGCTAAAATTATTTTGAGAGTTGTCATGTTTGAACTATAAGAAACATGCTGTGCTTACTATTGATTCTTGTTGACAAAATAAGTTTTAATTTTGTTATATGATTTAAAACAAGCATACATGCATATTATATATATTTTTAAGTTACAGAATTAGAAAAATATTGCATAGCAGGAATGACCCAGTTATCAATCAAAAACATCAAAACAATGAAAAAGGTAAGAATTTAACTGTTTTTGGAAATTGTTTAATGCAACAAAAACGTTTTGCACAGCTAAGAATAGATATACAACAAAACAATTAAAAGATTTAAAGATGAACAAATGGTTAAGAATTAATTTAATCAAATTAATCATGCCTAGTACCTAGTAAGTCCTAGTGCGTGCTACTAAGATGGTGGTATATTTAGCTAGAAAATCCTTTTTAGGTCACTTGCTGGACTTTGGAATGTTTGGTTGGGTGAATAGACAGGGAAAAAAACAGACCTAATGATGTTACGTAAACTAAGCTTAAACTATAGCTTGTGCATGTGTTTTTTTTTTCTTTTTCAGGAAATGGTCATGTGGTGAGAGACAACAGTGCATCAGCTAGGCTAATTAAAATTGTTTACAGCCATCATTTTTAACATCCTGTTTTCTCAAAAGTGAACTTCCGTCACCATTAACTCATAGTGGCATCTGTAGAACACAACCAGTCTATACCAGGGTAAATTACAATGTGCCCGTGATTTCAGGAGTGCGATGAAATGAAAACAAGCGGCTTCCTGCCTTTCGCATTACCTTTAAACGCTCACACTCACAAACCATTTCCCCTCACAAGCACACATTCACATATACATACACACAAATACCACATCACGTGAGCAGCCTAATGGGCGGGTCTGAACTATAATTACAGCTGTGATGTCATCTGCCACTCACTGTTGCCGCAAAATCTAGGTCACTGTTAACCCTTTCCCGTCACGCCAGGGGATTCCACACACCTCGAAATGCACCATTACTACAGATTTTCCATGAGCTCTTTTATGTGGTACTGCCTCCCATGCAACTTTCGGAGCCTATTAAACTAATATAAACTGGGGTGATGGTGTACATTTACCCCACAGATCAAACGCTTACAGTAGAATGGCGTCAGCTTTTATAGTCAATTTCAGAGCACTTTCATGTTATGGTTATCCCCACAACTACAGTACATTACGTCAATCGGAAGCCAAGCCAAAGGAAAGAAGCACTACACAGAAATGACACCTCTTCAAGCCGCCTTGAATTTCTGGGTATATTTGAGTAATTATATAAAAATACAACTGAACATCACCGCATGCTAAGTGTCGCATCATAGCAAAATTCCTAACAAAGCTTGACAATGCCAATCCAAAGTCATCCAAATTCAAATTATTGTGAGAGCAAATAAGCATGTGAAGCAAACCATCTTTTCACGGCAAACTGGCTATTTGTGGCCTAGCGACAACAATGCACGATAGATGAAGGGCATGTTGGCCAACTGGTAAGCGGCAAAATTTGATAGTATTTTTAGGCAAGCAAGATTTAGCTGTACTTTAACCGAACGTGTCTGTGTTAGGTTATGTAATTCTTTGTGAGTGTGTGAAGGTGTACAGGATTTAGCGGCGATGCACAAAAATAGCCAGTTGGAAATGAACTGGCATGGATTATAATTCTGGATTCAAAAACAATGAATCCTGGCCGAAGCTATAGCTAAACCTGCCATGGTGTAGTCAGAGCGCCGCTGCTGTCGAGACTGTCTGCTTGATTTTGCAGCAGTTGCACCAATCACGATTACTCCTACGTGTAATTCAGCATATTTGTTGCGAGGAATTCGCCACTAAAGCTCTCAAGGCTCGTCGAGTCTCTCTACCTCTGACGCGACATGTTACTCAAGTCCATAAACACTCCGCCACGTGCTCGCTCACATGGACACACAAATACCAGCACCGTCACCGCGCATGCGTACACGCATGTGACCCACTAACTTCTACTCCCTTTACCTCAGATGACTGGAAACTTTGGCAGTCCCGCCTGCCACTCTTTTCTCTGTTCCCAGGCTTGACACAGAGCGCAGAGAAAAAGGAAGACAGACAGACTGACAGACTGAGCGAGAAAGAGAAAGTGAGAGAGAGAGAGGCCACCTCCTCCTCCTCTTCTCTTTGCCAGGCGAAGCTCACGCCTACGTCTCTTCCAATAAGCGCAGAGCCCGGGTCCCTTTAAACCGGGGCCTAGTCCACGAGATTGTCCGCTCACCCCATTCTGGCTGGAGAAGACACACTACAGTACACCGCTGCGAAACGGACCTTGCATAGTACTAGGATCTGAAACGGAGGCCACAAACACTGAGTCACACCTGCAGCACACAGGTGGATGCCTGAACGCAGCTGTCACTTCAACCCCAAGCAGTCACACTGCATCTGGGCACGCATTGAGCCTGTTGAGTCACGCAAAAAGCACAAATCATCAACTGCAGCTCAAAACATCGTACCGTTTCTCATTCATACCCATGCGCTGAAGAAAACCCCAGGGAACTAGAGGACTATCAAATATAGTTGACATGTGCTGTAACAAGATACATACAGAGAGACAGCTGGCCAAAGGTTATTTAGCTCACCTCTTTAGCCAGGTTTGGGATTATGGACTGGGTTTTTACGTCTTCAATATATTCCACCTTCCAGGACAATCATGTAAAAAGAAAGAGAAAAAAAATGGATTGAGATCAATCAATAACCATTAATGACAATGAAAATACCATATCATAATTATCCAAACATTCATAACCCATGATAATTATTGAGAGAAAACAAACCACTTTTATCAGAAAGAGTCAGAAAGGTTTTACTTATGACAGGGCTCATTTACATGCATAAAACAGAACATGTTAAATAAATGATCAAATTCTGTCCTTTACATTTATACAACCCTGCCAATTATGATATAAAACAAACCTGTATGACATAAAAAGACATTTAACTGTGAGGTAGTTGTTTCTGACCCCAGCTTTTCTATAAACCAGTGCTGTTCAGAAGCCCCCCCCCCCCCCCCCATCTGCCATTACTGTCCGTAATTTTTTCCCTGTGCTAATAAATATTTACCTACTCAGCCTCGCTGCCTTTGCGTGTTGCTCTTCGGTGGCGAGAGGTATCCCCCATCAGAAGACCCGAAGCATTCTCTCTGTGTCCCCCCACCTCTCTCTCGCTCTCTTTCTGTCTGTCTTTCTTTATCTTTCTTTTCTTCTCCCTCTCTCTTCTGGTCTCTGTCCATTCAGGAAGCCATCTTGTGTTCTTAATCCTGTTTTACATTAGCTCTCGTACGCTCTTTCGTTCTCGCCCTCCCTGCCTCTCTCTCTCTCTCTCACTTCCTCCAATTCATGGCTCGACCACATATACACAGAAGAGCATTTTTTTTAAAAGGCAGTGTGATCGCTATCACTGCTGCACTATAGCCTCCTCCCTCTCTTTCTTTTTCCTCTACCCCCCTTCCCCCCTCTCCAAACGAAAAAGCTAACAGAATACGTGATGTGAATACTCCCCCCGCCTCCTTTCCGACATACACACACTCAACAAACGCACGCAAGGCGGCGTCACGCCACCGATAGCTCACAAAGAGCGGCCGTCGGCCAATCGGAGGCGAGCATGAGCACTGCTGCTAGGGTGAAACAGACAAGAGGAGAGAGAGAATGAGCGAGAGACATAGAGAGAGAGAGAGCGCGAGGGCGGGATGTGCTGGATAAAGAAGAGAAGAGAAGAGGGCGCGTGCTGTGAACAATGCGTGTGCATGTGCGTCTGTGCGTTTCAGACTGGGGGGAAGGGTTTCTCTCTCTTGCGCTGCGGCTGTCAATTATCTAACCCGGCTTGCCTTCCTTAAACAATGGCTCTGGAATGTGGTATCACTGAAGACCATCTGTGTCTCGGCTGCCTGCAACAACTGGACTGGACTGCACACGTGCATGTGCACGCCGTGTCTTTGGTACCATGACGCAGACGAACAATGTCACTGACAGAAAAAACACACATATCCGATCCTCTTGATCCAGCCAGTGACACACGATCAGCTGCCAACAGTTGTTTGAAAAAACACAAAGGAAACATACAAATTCTTGTTTTCTTCCGTTCCGCCAACCAAAAAATTACCCCATTGTGAATACCATATGAGAACGTAACACCATTTTACATTCGTCTGATCTTACATTGCATAGCAAATGCTAGTCAAATCGCAGCTGTTTTAAACGCTCAGGAATGACAGACTGTGCAAAGCATGTGTGCATGCTTAAAATAGCACTATAAATGCTCCAATTTCAATCTTTCAAAGTCTATAAACAATACAGACTACAACCTCTGCTGGCCAGACCTACAAAAGCCTGTTAGATGGAAATGCGCGAGTTAGGTTATTTCGACTGCAACACAACTGACGACGAAAGGTTAGTAGCGTACGTGCTTCCATTCATTAATCAGAAAACAGCAACTGCGAATAACAAAATCAGAAATGTGAAAATGAAAGAGATCAAAATCTAATTTGCTTTAATTTGACTTCATAATCCTCAGGATTTGCCTGTATTTTCCTTAAGCAGAGACATGTGGAGGACGAGAGTGGAGGGAAGCATGCGCTCAGGCTTTCGAAGAACCAGCGGACGATTGGTGACGCAGCAGTTGTGATGAGAGTGGATTACGCAGCGTGGGAGTTCCAGTAACACCGTGTTCGTGCATGTGTGCATCTGCGTGAAGGCTTGCAGTAACCACAAGACTAGGGAAGGTTGCGCTGTGGCACCAAATTTCTGTTTAACTTTTTTCTTTACGCTTCAAGCATCATAAGAAACAATGTGAATGTCATTTTGAGGTTTTGCCCAATGGAATCGTCAAAAGCATGTTCTACTGACGGAGAGAGTTGTGGTGCAAATGCATTCAGAATGACTGCCGTCTTCCTGATGTTATCTCATCTGTTTGCTTTGATACAGGCTGAATCACCTGGTTCGTCATGAGAGCCAAAGTGCCTAAGTGGTCATAAATCTCCTTCCTAGCACTCTCATAACAGGCCAGGTGATTCAGGCTGTATCAAAGCAAATCCCCTTTAGGCTGTCTGAAAATTGTCATAGTCCTACCTGTGACCCCCCCCAACCCACTTCTACGCACACGCTTACGTAAAGTTCTCGTGGTTAGACTGCAGAAACATCATTAGGGCTTCATTGTCAATGAATTGCAAAGGTGTGTGAGCCTGCGTGAGTTTAAATGAGGGTTGAGACATCGTTGTAATAACAGAAGGATTAACAATCCTAATTAACTCCCTCCTCCCACTTTTGTCAAACAATGGCACCCCAAATTCAACTAATCCACATTGAGTTTCTAAGAACCTGCTCCAATACACACACACACACATACACACTTCGGGCCTAGTACTGCACATAAATTGAAAATTTAAACTGCGTTATGTTATTAAATCAAAAATCCCATTGGTTTTGCCTATACATGTAATTTCATAACATTTTATTTTTTAAACAACTGAGTCCTAGTGTCCACTACAGAGGACATAGCATAACATATGAATAACATATCATTTTTAATATCATATATAAAATATCATCTTATGCTTTAAACAATGTGATGACATGGAGAAAAAAACTACATTCAAAAAACTTTTTTTTCTGGGTCTCATTACAGTAATGAGAGCGCAATAACAATCATCACTGGGAATAGGAAATACATAAAAACTAAAAATGACTAAATGATTACCCAGTTAATGTAGTATTATAAGTTACATTTTACTGTTTGAATGTTAACCCTAATACATGAGCTACCCAAATAAAAATGAGTTAAGTTTGTATTTAATTTAATGACAAAATAAAAATAAAAATAGAAACCCTCAAGTGGGACAACATCTATAAAGCGGTATTAGTCGTTGCATGCAAGCTAATGTCGAGGGGGCTATCATTTGTCCACGATATAAAACAAAACCAAAAATCTCCTGCAAGCCAAGCGTAGCATTGCTGTTCTGGAAGAGACATGACCAAATGACAGAGAGAAAAATAATAATGCAAAAAGTGCACTACTTTTAATGCATGTGATGTAATAATGCATTCTTTTAAGATTAATTCTCCACAAAGTATCTCAGTTTCTAGTAGTCTTACATGACTGATGCAGCAGCCCTGTTGACAATCTCTATATGCTGTAGCACTGACTAATCCATACTGCAGTGAATGGATCAATAAATGGGCAGTGATAGTCATTTGTGAAGAGCCCTCTTTAGTTTGCATTATTTAACTTTGCCATTCATTTTCAAATGCACCATTTTACATCTGTATCGAATATAATGTAGATTTAGTTCTAAACTGCTTAATGTTGCTCATCTTCCAAACACACAGAAAGCTAACAGCTACAGTAATTATTCTCGTTCAGTTAGTGATTGGGGTTTATTAGCATTATTGAGTGCTGCTACCTGTCATGCATGCAGGGTCTGCATTCATTCGGACTCGGAGCAAAGCTCTGATTGGTGGAACAGGCTATAATGTGATTTGGTTGCCAGGCAATAGTTAAGTCAGTTGGTGGTATAGTGCAGAGGTCAGCTCAATGAAATATGGCCAATTTGGACACTGTAGCACAGCAAGGTTTGCTGTTCCAGCTCTCAAAATATAATATCTTTCCACTTTCAATCTCAAATTCAACAAGGCATGTGCTCAGAATAGGTTTTGTGCACACATGCCAAGTGAAAATGCTTTGTGAATCTGGATTTGGATTAATGCTACTGGGTTTCTCAGAATTCAGTGATTTATTAATGAATGTTTTGCTGCACATGTGAGATTTCAATGGGCAGATTTTGGAGCCGGTCTCTTTCAAGTGCTCAGTGAAGTGATGAGGGGGGAAAGAGGGTGGGAGAGGCGAGGGGGGGATGGGTGACCCTGACGAACACACAGACAGACATTTAAATCTAATCCACCTCATCCTTTGTCTGATCTTAGCTAGTAAATAAAAACAGCAAACTGGTCTTTCAAAAATGTCTTTGACTGGTAAAAAAATAAAAATAAAAATCTTGTTATCAGAAGCATACCGGTATCTATTACTATAGTTAACTATATACTGCTACTTAGAGTTTGAGATAACAATAGGCTACAAGGTTCATTGATAAAATGCTTTGTGAGTGCAACAGTAATAGCAATAAGTATAAGTGTATACAAGTTAAACATTCCCATTTTGTGAGAAAATACTTCACTTTCCTGCTTCTAGCATGACTTCATACAGTCCTTATACTTGGAAATCAACAGCTTTGTGTCTAACATGTTACATTTACAATTATTAATTTGTTAGACTGTCTGAATGCACTCAGTCACTTTGAATTAAACTGAGTATAAATGTTCAAAAGTTTGGGATCAGTAAGATTAAAAAATAAATAAATAAATGAATGCTTTTTTTTATTCAGCAGGATTAAACGTGAAAGGAAAGAGTTACAATGTTACAAATGTTACAATGTCCACTTCCAATAAATGCTCTTCCTTTTAACTTTCTATTGAAAAATTAATACTAAATTAAATAAAAATTAATACTAAAATATTAAAGGGGTCATATAATGCCATTTTTGTACAAGCTAATATGATTCTTTAGGGTCTAAATTAAAAGTTTGTAATATACTTTAATTAAAAATTCTCATTAGTATTGTAAGAAAACAGTTATTTTACTTGGTCAAAAACAGCTCTGTTTTCATCACGCCGTTTCAGTGCATATGACTTTAAATGATCATGAGCTGTGCTCACTCCGCCTCTCTGTTCTGTGCGTACACGTTTGTAACACAATGACCATAACGCGTTGTTCATTATAAACGTGGGATTATGAATTATATTGAGAACGTCGTACATAGAAAACCTGCCGTAATGTACCCTCAGTGTAAACCTTAGAAGCATTCATCGTGAAGCGTGCAAGCGATTTGCAAAGATATAGATATTAATATAAAGGTTAATAAAACGTTACACTCACTTCCGTTCTTCTGGAGATTCAGCAGGAACACGAATAGTTGGTACCGATCCTTTATTCAGGAGCAGCTTCTTAGCAAAACCAGCTTTATACTGACCCTTCTCGTTTATAAAGCAGTCTGCTGAGAAATGATTCACGCAAACATGAAAGCATTGACGTTGCTCGTGGGGAATATTCCCTTCGAAAACAAAACTCAGCCACTGTGTCTTCAGCGGTTCGGATTTAGGAACATTAAAATGACTGCTGTGTTTGTTATTGCACCCAAGAACAGAACACCAATCGCTTAGACGCCATTCTGCTCATAGACAGTGCTCCAGCATATCAACAATGAGCGCGCCGGTCCGCACAGACTATGATTGACAGCTCCCTCACGAGCGAGGGCGGGTCTGTGTTGAAACGCGGCTGTCAATCAACAATCGTGGGAGGGGCTTCCGACCGTGTGACGTCACAAAAGCGAACGGCTTGATTTGACGCAGGGGAAAACATATAAGGCGATTAAAACAAAAACACTGGATGGATTTTTATCATTATATGATGGTTGTGTACAGGCACTGCCAACACACATTTCAGTACAATCAACTTGAAAAAGTGCATGTACCATTATATGACCCCTTTAAGAAGCACAAAGATTTTCGACATTGATAATAAGAAGAAATGTGTCTTGAGCACCAAATCAGCATATTAGAATGATTTCTGAAGGATAATGTGACACTGAAGACTGGAGTAATGATGCTGAAAATTCAGCTTTGCCATCACAGGAATAAATTACACTTTAATATATATTAAAATAGAAAAAAAGTTGTTTTAAATTATAATAATGTTTTTCAATTTTACTGTATTTTTAATCAAATAAATGCAGCCATGGTGAGCATAAGAGACTTCTTTCAAAAACATTTACAAAATCTTACTGACCACAAACTTTTGTACGGTGGTGTATGTGTACAACACGATGAAATTGAGGAATGCACTTTCAATTTAAAAGCTTGTAGAAAAACGTGCTTTGTTGTGAACTGAAGCCAGTCAGTCTCTGGAGTAGTCAGACATCCATCTCTACACATCTACCACCACTTTTTCTTGCTAAAATGTAACCAGAAGCATTCAATGCCTTGAATTGTATAGTCAATAATTAGGGAAAACGGAGGGAGACTGGGAAGGAGTGTAAGAGAGAGGGAGTATTGTGGTTTCCTGTTATAGAATCAAAGATCTAATTCTGTCTATTTCCCACACAAGCACACAAAGACATGGATACCTTTCCTTCAATTGTCCTTTGCACTTTCTGCCCTTTCTGTTTATCTGCATTTCTCCTTTACCTTTCCACGGTTTCCCTATTTCTTTTGCTTCCTGAACTTCTCATCTTTTTGTCTCTCACTCTATCCCTCCCCCGTTCTCCTTCCTCTTCTATTTGGCCACAGGTCAGCCCCCACGACTCCAATGGTCAAAGGTCAAAGAGCAGAGTATATAAAGTAAGCGAAAGGAATTCTCTGCACTGAGACTCTAAACCTGCTCAAACACATATACACACACACACAACTGGAACCCATGTGAGTGCGCTTACCCTCAAAATAAAGAAAAAAGATCCTAAACTCTTTAAGCTGGAGTAGAAATAGGAAAAAAATGAAGGTTTGATAACCAAAAAAGTAAATTAAGAAATATCATTAGTGGTAATGATTAATAGGAAACATCTCAACTGCTATTGCTCCTCAGTTTGCAGAATGCCATTTAAGTATTAAACTTCTGTGCATAACTCAGCACAGTTTGTGCTTCGGACATGAATGATACCTCAAATCGTGTGGCTTGGCGAGGAGAGCTGCTATTACTATTCAAGTAATATTAACTGAATTATACATTTTATGTCCTTGTAAACAATTAAAATGGACATTAAAAACATACTTAAGATTAACTTTATTAAGTAGAACGGTAACACTTTACAATAAGGTTTCATTTGTTAACATTAGTTAATGTATTAACTAACATGAACTAAAAATGAACAATATATTTGTTACAGCATTTACTAATCTTTGTTAGTAAAAGCCCAGCTGTTCATTGTTTTTTAATGTTAGTTCAGAGTGCATAAAAATCGTTAACAAATACAACATTTGATTTCCATAATGTATTAGTTAAAAATTAACATTAACTAGAAATAATAAATGCTGTAGAAGTATTGTTCAAACTTAATGCACATTGGTGGTGGTTGAGGGGATTCCTCCTATGTGAAGCGCTTTGAGTGTCCAGAAAAGCGCTATATAAATGTGATAAATTATTATTATTAATTATTATTATTATTATTATTATTATTAATGTTAACTGAAAGTGGACAAGCTCAAAATGATCACTTGTGATCCGATCGACCAAAACGCATCTTAATACCATGTGAAAACAGGGCCATAGTGACCAGGCCACTATTCTGGAAGAGGAAAAACCCCTCTGGCCACTGTGAAGGACTTGTATCTGTCAACCCAAGACGAATTTGATGCTGAATTGGCCACAAAAGGAGCCCCAACATACTAATAAATTATTGTGGTCTAAGACCAGGTGTTTCAGTTTCATTGTCCAACCCCTATGCTAAAAACTTTAGAATATTTTGACCATTCCAGTAAGTATCTACCGAGCAACCCCTCAGAACACCCTAGCAAGAACCAAAAATAGCAATGTGCTAAAAAAAAACATTCAGAACACAGATTCAACTGCAAAGCAACACCCTGGCAACCATCCACAACACCCTAACGTGATGGCAATGACATTTGCATGGATAAACACTAAGAAAAATGAAAATCAAAGTGCAAATCTTGTTAAATTTGAATTTGGTAAAGATTCTATAATGCCAAATACACTGAGGAAAAATTGAATTCTTGTTTGTCAGAGTAACAGACTTTTAGACAGCTGCTCTTTGGAAAAATAAAAGGTATGATTAGCCACTCATATGTGATACTTCAGGAAAAAGGACACACTACAGCAGCTGCCACTTTTTTAAAAAAAAACAAAAAACAACAAAACAAACAAAGAGAGGCTCATTTTGTTAAGCTGTTGAGAGGGAGCTTTGCAGTAAGCAGCTGAGCAATTCTTCAATGCTTTTCAGTCTCTGTGGGCTGATTTCCATACCTTAGCTAACCTCCCAAAGCGATGTGCAAACACAAACATGCTCCTTTACACACTAACAGCCAGTTACAATACTGGAGTCAAACCATCTTAATGTCACTGATGCATAGTGTAACAAAGTACTAACTCCCATTAATCATAATCATATAATACGCATGTTAAGTATACATTAAAATAAATTTAAAAATCATAATAAATATCATAATTAAAATATCAAATATAGCAAGTGGAAATTAATGCACTGAGTGTATTGTACTGAAAGGACTGCATTAATGCTCAAAATCAAGAGTTTTATATATTATATAAAATTATTCTCATTTGAGACTCTTTAAGAAACTTGCCATATTGTCAGGTAGCCTAATTACAATCTAGGCGAGAATGAAGGGATGAAAGCAGACATGTCAAGACAGGACGGGTAAGGAATGAGTCTAGGTGGACCAACAGTTAACAGACAGGAAGCCCTGCCTTTGAGTGTTAAGTTCTCCAAACAACATTTGCATATTACATAGATATGCAACATGCTTTTACGTACAGGGGTGGACTTTGTGATTTGGGGACCCTAACCCTAAGCAATTCCAGGTATGATGCCCCAACACACCATCTACTCACCCTTTCACCTTTGTAACCCTTATTTTGCTGTCTCTTTCTCTGTCTATTTTCCCCTTCTTTTTTTTTTTACATTTGTAAACTATATATCAAATCTTAATTTAATGTAATCTGTAAATGTTGTATTTTCTCATTGTGAAATAAAATAATTAATAATGAATTCACAAATAAATACTAAATTAACTGGGATGTCTGCGATTGGCTACATTGTTCAAAGCTGCAAAAACACATTGTAAATAAAAACCTTTGACGTTCTCCAGAATGCAAAATACAAATAGCGTTTGCTATTGCTTATGCTATTATTAAGGTTTCTCTAGAATCTCTAGAATCTCGTAGAATCGGGTCTGATCTTGTCACTGTTTTTCATATTAATGAAGTAGTTGCTCTGTGTGTGTGTGTGTATGTGTGTGTATCTACGACCAGCACGGTTAACTGGGAAATTATCTGTGATTTGAACTAGGCATTTCCTAACAGGCTCACAGGAGCACTCTTTTTCTGACAAGTGTTTTGGCAGGTTCACCATTCATAAACCCTGCCTGTGTGCTGTAATACGTCTGTTGTTCATATGCTACACTCACCGCACCGCATTTTCCAGGGTCACGGGAGAGTGGCTCATAGCAGTGCCATGAAAAAAAACCACTTTGGGGAGTTTGGCAACATTCCTTTTTGTCTCTTCTTTTTTTCCTGCTTCGGTAAACTGCGTTTTATTATTAATTTATTCCTGAAAACTTTACCGTTTTACTCGCACTCGCTCTAGCCCTACTGACTCTGCTTTAACTTTCTCTAAGTATCAGGTTGCTACTCGCCTGTGCAGAACTAATGAAATGATCCACGAGAAATCCACGATAGGGGGTCCCCGCATTCGCAAGATGCTATATTAACATGAATCGTTTATTGTATATTCAAGATATCACCATTAAAGTTTTAATGATTAAGAAAATTAATACATTGTATATTATTTCTATATGCTTCTGGGTATTTGTTGGGGCCCTAAGTGGCTGCTTGCCTCACTTATTGGCTATGTCCGGCCCTGTACAAAAACAGAAGTGTAATATGATCAAATCTTTTACCTCCCATGGGCTCTTCCTTCTCTTGAGCTCATCACACTTTCTCAGTTTGCAGATCTGGTGTCCGATCTTTCTGTTCAGGCAGTTGCTGCAGGAACCGCAGTTCTCCTTCTGCATGCAAGGCCCACATACGCCACATCTCTTCCTTTTCTTTTTTTGGGGTACCAGAGGCTCCATCAGTTCCTGGTCCTCCATATGCGGCAAAGTTAACATGCCTGCTTGCTCATGCTCAGACCTGATGTAGTCAGCTGCAGGAGAAACCACCCTTGTGCTCCTGGCCCCGAGGAACACTTTAGGGTCTTCCTCGTCCATAGAGAATTCATATATGTCCTGGACGGGAGGGCCAGAGCCACCCTTCAGCTTGTGCATACTGAGGGTCCCACTCTCCTTAAGGACAAGAGAGTGGTAAAAGTGGCCACTAACGGTTTCAAAATATAAGGTAAAATATAAGGTTATTTACAACACAGCACAGCACAGACCAGTCCATAAAGTGTGTGTGCCGTGTTAGGACCACAAGGAAGAAAGTTTGCAATGGGGTTTAAAGGGTGGCGATGGGCACAAGAGGTAGTTCTGAGCATGACGTCATTCACCTGCAGGTGCAGGAATGTTAGGAATAAGGCCGCAGGTGATGGGGAGCATCTCTCTATTACACAAACTTGATGTCATTTGGATGAAGACATAAAGCAGTTCAGCTCATTGCCACTTAAGGCAGTCTGGGGACTGTATGGAGAGAGAGAGAGAAAATATGGATAAGGATATATTTCAGTTTTGGTTAAATTAACTATTGTCAATAAAATAAAAATAAAAACATTTTTCATCTTAAATTCAAATTTAAAAAATATTGCATTATTGGCATGACTGTAAATACAATATTGCCAAAGTTTGGATTATATGTACAAAAAAATAAAAAATAAAGATCAAAATAATAGGCTAAGTATTAGAATCTATCTAGCTGTATATTAGGCTAAGATAAGTTGGGATATTATCTATGTAATATAAAGTTTTTAATAAGATTCATAAAGGTTATAAGTCAAAGACATTGACAGTATCAGCCTGAAATTTCATGATCATTGTTCAGTCTCGTTCAATCTCCAAAGGGGGAAACCCCAAACAAGACAAATATACTGAATCACGGTACTACGTGTGAAATGTGAGAAAATGCTCGGTTAGAATGGCGAATCCCTATGAGACAGCACAGCTCTGCATTGCTATCCACCACAGCTCTTTGTTTGTCCTCTATGAGTCTCAATGCAGGTCTTTCGCTCGACTCTCTTTGTTCATCGCTTGGGGACCGTCAATAAACTCAAATATTTTAACAGTAACTACGGGTCACGCAGCGCACGTATTATTGGGCATTGTTGTTAAGGTTAAGGAATCGTTAACATAACGATATGATTCGCAATGACGCGTTATTTATTTGATAAAGTTTGTGTGGTGGACGATAATAGGGTTTTAATGAGGCAATCACTCTGTGCCTGGCTTAATGTTGCGATAAAACACACTGCAAAGAAATTACTACGGTAGCTATATATAGCCTATATATTACTACCATAGTAATTTAGTAAACTCTTTTTTTTTAATAGCCTACTAAGATATAAGTTGTACCAGTCAAGTCTACATAGTCTAGACATTGTTGTGAGCAAAATATAGATCGATATGCTTGAGTAACGTAAATGCTTAAGTCAGCAGCATTTTTCAGAGTTTTTACCCGCTCTTAAACTGTAACAACATTCCCATTTTTATCTGATACAAATTAAAAAAGATAATTTAGACATATAGCCTACAACGCACCCATAAACCGTGTAAAACGTTGTAAACACATTGAAAACATAGGTAAAAAGCATTCTAAAAGGATAACAGAAAATATGTGCGCCGGTATTCATGACTATCCTATCTTGTGCAATCTTTCTGTGAGTCCAGCACTGGAAAGTCTGGTTAGTCAAGTATTTTTAATTTGTAGATTAAAAACTAGAGATTATATCTATCGAATTAAAGCAGAGAACCTGCTGATTCGGATGAACCCCGTTATTTCTTTTAACGTTCATTAATTACTAATTATTGTAACTTACTTGAAATAATACTTACATGTGAAAATTGTTTTGTCTTGCAAATCCTTCATATTTTTACACTTAGGCTATAGGCTACTGTCACCTCACGATGATGGTGGTAACCGTAATTTCACCCATGTAGGTAATTTATAAATGACTAAATAACGGTGTTACACCCATGTTACAAAATATGTAAGGGTATCTGCTGAATGAAACTAAAGTAACTGTTAATGACATTCAAACTGAGTAGCCTACATAAGCACAGAGCTAGAGCAAAATAAACCCGTATGAACCCTATTAGTATGGCGAAATGAAAAGTATAGTCTATCCTGCAATCGACAACTAAGGAATCCTGCCTAATCGTTAAATGGCCCAAATATAAAAACCAGCCAGTCAAGTGTGTCGCACGCGCTCAATGAGACTTGAGCACGTGGCTCCTCATTCAGCCGGGCGCTTTAACTGGCGGCAAAAATGAAGAGTTCAAGAAACTGAGGTGTAAAAACCGGCAATGATCGCTTAAACTGTGAACACATACACGCCTGTATTAGCTTTTCCGATTAAAGTTGACAAACAAGTGACAGTTTTCCTTGGAAGGGTGAGAGAAACGACACATCAGCAAGGCCCCCCCTCTGCATAAAGAAAACAACACCCCGGGGTGCGTGTTGGAGCGTTGCCGTGCGCGATTTGTTACAAAGACACAAAATAGAACATTTCTGAGTGAACAGAATGTTACATTTATAAAGCATTCAATACATTGTAACAAAGGCAGTTCCAACGTTTTCTGGTGTTCTCGTTACATTGAGCTCTCATTTCACCTCATAGCCTAATACAATCGAAAAAGTTATCAGTAATCGATGTGTATTGCGCTAATCACCTCATTAGGGATACAAAAACGTACACATGAGAATACACATCTTTCACTTGTGCAAAATTTACGTTTTCTAACTTTTTCCCCCAAGGAGAAAAAGTTTCCAAAATGTAAAGAAATAATATGCAGGAAGGACTTACCAAGCGATGGAAACGTGCTCGTGCGTCTTGTCAAACCCCATTTAGATTAAAAAGATGATTTACTTTTAACAAAAACAAAAAAATGCATGCATATTAAACTCCACATGACTAGAATGACTAAAACGCAAGTCGTTTTTATCTTAAAATGCAGTGCAGATGAGGGAAAAGTTCATTTGCTGCACGGGTTAAAAAACACACTAAACAGCCAGGACATGACATGGCGAATTTCACGATAAGAAAAAAAAGTTGCTATTTCATTATGGGACAGACCCTTTAAACTTTCCTCTAAGTCTCATCCATTTACTCAAGGGAAGATTTAGAGTTAAAAAACGATGAGGAGGAAGGAGAGGCGGCGAGAGACTAAAGTAAGTTGCGGAATGGAGTTCAGAGTGGAACGATGGGGTTAAAATTACGTCATCGCGGTGACAACAAGATGTCTAGATTCGAAGAGAACTTTTAAGGGAAGACTCATGTTAAACGCTCTCTATAAGACCCAATGGTATATCACGTTGCCAACATCCTTACCACATGGTGACATTTAAACTCCAGATATTAACATAATACATTTTTTTAAATTTGCCTGGTTTAAGAGATGCACACTGCCAAACGGGCGTTTTGTGTATGTTTTATTACATAGCACTGTAAACAGTTGTATTTATCGGAAAAACAATAAGGAGGAAAGAAAACAACATCAATAGTATACTAAAAACAAAATTCACATCTTTCCTACTACATTTCATTCAGTTTCCATAAGCAAACAAACCATGAATCATCATCATCATCATCAAATCTCTAGAACTGGACTTTAAATGACTGGACAGATGCAAGAACTGTGCTACAAGTCCATCATTTTTTCAATGCATGTCGCATTCTGGGTAAGACAAATGATACAATCAAGCATCACATATAGCATTATTATGGATTGTTATTTTCAGTTATGCTTCAAATAGGTTGGTTATGGTCATATATGCAATAAATAATATGAGAAACAGTTTTCAAAAACATTCAAACAAAATAGATTTATACTGTCAAAATAGTACAGTAAACAAATAAAGAAAAGCTTCAGTGTTAAACCATCAGAAATATGGTTTACTTTGCACACAATCATTGAGGACGGAAGCCAAAATCAGTCTGTAATGGTAATATAAGACTATTGTTCTGCAATGCAGAAATTAGTCACCTATTGCCTCACTTCTCGGAGGCACAGATCAATACATGACAGCGCAGTTCAATCTCATGAAGAAATGAGACTCAGAAATGTCAGGATGGAAATACAGTGTGAAGGACAGAGTTATAAAGCTGACAATAAGAAATAAACCAAGAAAGAGTACTATGAACACAGGTTTGAGAGCAAATGTTATCCAAACAAGCTGTAAATAAAATGGATGAAACATTTTTAAATAAGAAAATGAGGCTCAGAATTGTAGTTACTGTCCCTTTAACCTGGGTGGACCTGTAATAGCACATTTGATAGTGTTAATAACAACAACATTGCATCTTTGGGAGTCACACGCTTCCATTAATGGATGACAGTCTTATCATACATTTTCCTGAAAAAATCCTGAAATGCATTCCAAAGGACATGTAATTACTCAAACCTGTTCCCTCTCTCTTTTCTTCATCCCCATTTTGCCATAAACCCATTGTTTTAATTATGGTACGGAAGCAGAAAGAGGTCCTCTAGGTTCGGACCTGGAATTTGCCAGCCTTGGTCATGTATTTGATGCCTTTGAAAGGTTTGTACTTCTCGCCGTACATGTCCAACCTATTTACTTTCAGACCTGTCGGGTGAGAAAACGGAAAGCAAACATGTCAGTTGCGAAGCACGTATGCATGTGGCACGATAGAGTCTTTGGGGAAAGGTTGCGAATGCTAAAAGAACTGAATCAATGATCCGTCAAAGCGCTTGAAACCCTCTGTCTTACAGTGCCATGTTACAGGTGCAGCTGTTCCAGCCATCTGTTTGAGAATCAAAACAGCGCCACCTCCTGGCCAGATAATGCAATTGTCATAAACAGTCTCACTTGCACATTCATATGCAGAATTGCACTTTATTACATCCCCTGTGGGAGATTATTCTTGACTGAAGGTCAACTGTGAAAATTTCTCTGTTTATTTCACATTTATTTTACCAGAACAAAATGTCAATCTCTGAGGTACAACAAACTAATTTTATATTTGAATGGACTAATTAATGCAATACATTTTATATCCCCAGTGGCAAATTCTACTGTGCATAGTAAAATAATACAATAAATATCCACAATTAAATGTGAACTAAAAACCGTGTGTAATCCATAACTGTTTAAATTCAATTAGTGGGCTAAAATGGTTTCGAAAATGTATAAAACACATACAACTTTTTGTTACTTTTCTATGAACAATCTTGGTGTTGTGTTGGGTCAACACTTGATGTCCTATATAAATTCTGAAGCAAAATCAGTTAAGAAATCAATGATCTATGGTACCTGAAATGGCCAGCTGCTGAATCTTGAACTGGATGTTGATTGTTGGGTTTTCATCAGGTTTAAAGGCTCCAGCCTGGAGACTCACAGATCCTTTTAGACTGGGCAGTTTCTGGGGGTTTATCTTACCCACATCCCATGACAAAAGCTGCAAATAACAACAATTCATCGCAAAATTAATATGCAGCTTCTGCCAGTTAAAAATTCACATGAAACTAAATAAAAAGACTGATGCACATAATGACAGCATTGCATTATATAAAATTTATTATATTATGAGCCCATATCTGGTAAATCATGACCTGCTATTAAAATGGACGTATTTATTTGATGTCACCATTAAACCAATTGATATCTGTTGATCAGGGAGCACTTCTTAGCCTTTGCACGTGAAAAATACAATGCACACTTGACATCACTAACTGATTTTTACAAGGAAAAACAGTGTGAAAATAAAAAGTTTGCTCAAAATGAACATCAGCAGCACCTAAAGAACAACAAACACAGAAACCAAATGCTTGTTTACCTTGGTGACAGGGTCAAAAGTGTAAGTGCCCTGTGAGGCGTTGAGGTTGGCATTGAGGACGCCACGGGGCAGCTGACTGCTCACCAGGACCGATTCCACCGCCTTACCCATGGTCTGCTTTGGGCCGAGGGTGAGCTCAAAGCGACCTTGAGAACTGCCCTCTCTGAAGCTGATGTTATGCTTTACATACACTGGGATGGCCACCAGGCTGAAGAATAAGGCAATGAAGTATTCAAATCACAGATATAACTGTATATAAAACTGCAAAATAACAGCTTATAGCTTTGCTCAAACATGTTACATAATGTTCTATATCAAATGTATTATAATAGAAAACAGTTGTTTTAAACTGTAATAATATTTCACAACATTTTACAGTGTTTTTGATCAAATGAATGCAGCCTTGGTGAGCATAAGAAACTTTTTCCAAAAACATGAAAAAAAAAAAAAAGTTACCAACAACAGAATGAAATGACTGATATTAGTAAGGGATTCTTGAGATTGTCCCACTGCTCTGCACAAAAGGGGCTTTCGCACCAGGAAGTTATAGGAACTCAGTCATAGGAACTATAACCACCAGGGCGGTCCCCTGAGAACGAAATTTCCCCCTAGGGCCATTTTCCTGGTTGCATTCGCAACGTAAGCCGGCCGACAGTGACATCATTTAAGCATGGTATTCAACAACTGGAGGATGGCGTGATCGGCACTGTGTTTTTGTTGTGTGTTGTGGGTTTCGTGATAGTGGAGATGGAATGTAGTCGTACAATTTATGTGATTGAAAAAGCAAAATAGAGGGCTAAGAGATTAAATCTCCTACAAGTTTCTGTGCTACATTTCATCGAGGCAGACAAAGGCGACAGGTAAATGCTAGCCATCACTGTTTTCCATATTCATGGAGTTAATTCCTGTATATGTAACCTTTGCGTTTACATGGCTTTTTAAAAAAGGTTGGTGCCGGTGCTTTGTATGGCATGCATTCGGCCAATCAACGTACACTTATGTCACTGATAGTTCCTGTTGTGCTGGGTTAGACCCTACTCTGACATAGGAGATAATGTAGTTCCCCCAAGAGGCGTTCCTATAACTAAAATCGTTCACAGTTCCTGCAGAGCGAACACCCCAAAAAGCAGGTACTTCCACCAATAGTTATAAGAACTATGAAAACGTTCCTCTGGTGTGAAAGCCCCTAAAGTGAATATCTAAAAGGGATTTTTTTGGGCCATTTCCCCACTATGAGTTACTAATCCTGCCTTTAAAGCTAATCATATGTTGGGATGTTCTCACTTCTGAGAGCTGACGTGGTAAGAGAGGAGACGGAAGTTTCCGTCTGGTGGGATGAAGGAAAGAATTCGCTCGGCTTCCCAACGCTTGAACCGCACACAGGGGTGGAAGCTGACATCATCCAGGAGTCGAGGGTTCTACAGAATGAAAGATGCCGAATGCAAAAGAAAAAAAAAGAAAGAAAAGGAATGAGGTATATGGGTTAGAGTTAGTAGTATATAGTAATATAAAATATATTGCAGACTTGAACTTCAGAAGTGCATTTGGTCATTTTTTAAAAGTGAAAAATGTTCTAGAATTGAGAAGCAATTTTGAAAAGTGAAGATGTCAGCCCAAGATAACACAAGCAAAGCATTATGGAGTGCACCTTTTTTCATAATGGATGGATACGCTTCTTGGAGCTTCAAAAACTCTAGCACTATTCAATGTCATTACAAAGCTGGGAAGAGCCAGGATATAATTTAATATAACTCTGATTGTGTTCGGCTGAAAGAAGAAAGTCATTTACAACTAATATGACTTGAGGGTGAGTAAATTATTCATTTTTGGGTAAACTATTCCTTTAAAAAACTCCAAGACACTGATGTATTGGTTGTTCAGGACTTCAAAAAAGTTAAAGATTTACCATAAATGACAAGGTAAGATCAGGCATTCCTGTAAGTTTCACACAGGCATCTACAACTCCCTGGATCTCTGCTGTGATAGTGGAACCTTTGAGGGAAATATATTAATTCATATTCATAAATGATTTACTGATTCATAGGTTAGTGATCAGACAGCAATGTCATCTGCGAAAATCGAGATTCAGACAAATAATAAGATCTACCTGATTTGTCAATGATAGCATCGATTTCTTCCACCACGTCAAAGTAAGCTTCATTGTTGGTATATTTGACTCCTGTGCGCCGCCATGGTACCACTGACAGCTGACCTGTAGGAAGCTGCTCGCCAACATTAGTACTTCCTGTGCACATATAACAAACACAAGAAATTATTATTATGGATTCACGAGCTGAGAGACATTTAACACACCACAAAATCACACAGAATACCTGTGATGGTGTTCACTACTGTGCGCAGGATGGTTGGAGGTTTAATAAGCTCTTTTAGGATGTTCGATTCGGTGGCCAGAGGGAAGCCATTATCCAACATCTCCTCCAGCAGCTCATAGACCACAACAACATTGTCTTTAATAGCTGCCTCTGTGCACACCCCAAAATAGTCCTAAAGGGGAAAATATAACACGTTAATTGAATGTTTTCAGAAGTAATAGTTGCACTTAAAAGTAATGCTTTATATTAAGTTCAGTAATACGTTAATATATTTTATCAGTATACGTTAATATATTATAATATATTATATATTAACGGATCAGTAGATCATGTAATGTACCACGGTAATCTAATCTGCCACATGTAATGTAACCACGGTAAATGTACTATGTGTAAATACCATGTTCTATGAATATCGTACTCATTCAGTATATTTTATACTGATCTACCATGTTATCAACATCTGATACCATCACTGTACCAGTGTTTAATTTATAGTGATTACTATATTTATGAGTCATGAACAATGAGTTTAAACAAGTTTCAGCTGTTAAATAACATTTCAATGTGTTTAAATTATTTTTTTTACTTTTTTATGTCAGGCGGTACAACCAAATAGTTGTATGGAAAGTGTACCAACCGACCCATACTTGAAATGAGCAGTTTTTACCAGTATTTGAGAGAGATCTACAAACCTTTTCACTCTGCTACAAGGATCAGTTGGGCTCCTATGGATGATGCATTATCATGTTGACCATTATAGGCCGTGAGACAGAGGGTTGATTGGTACCATTTTGAGGGATTAAACCGAATGGTGATTTTTGTGTAGGTATATGACCCTGTATTTGAAAAATGTGTGATAGCATTAGATTCAAGGTAGTTTTTGATTACGGAGGATGATTTTCAAACATATGTCAAAGAAAAAGGGTAAATTAATTTATCTTTAAAAAATTTTTACAATTTAAAATTGTATAAAATTTTTATAAAATGTTATAAATTTTTATAATAAAAAATTATAACTTTTTTAATAATTTTTTTAAATTATAAAAGGATAAATTTTTCTCTCTTGTAGTCACTGAACACCTTACCTTGAGGTAGGATGATATAAGTGTTGATTTCTAATGAAAGCTACCATGGATCGGATGCTATCACACATTTTCCAACACTAGAGATGTGTACCTTCATGAAAATCAAAAAGAAATTTAATCCCTCAAAATGGTACCGGTACCCCAAATTTGGGGTCCCGTCTCATGGCCTATTACCTTGTCAATTCATAACAAAAGAGCCATGTTTGCAGTTGTGCCACCCTGACATTTGGGGGGAAACAAATTGCTGGACGAATTTTATTTTATTTTATAATTAAGACACCATTTAAAATAGTTTTCTTATTCTGTTCATTTGTTCGGACAGTTGCACCACCTGACATTTTGGGGGGTTTAAGACAACAATAATGCAAAAGCAGGACACAAAAACATGCACGTAATGACATTGACCCATATATCAAGGCAAAATGGTATTACAACCTAACATCATGGTAAATTAGAAGAATAAAATCCCACAAACCTGAAATGTGTCCACCACACGATGGAGGAACTCGATGACAAACAGAGGAGGCACCTCGCTCTGTATGACGGCCACGAAGTAGATGCGATGTCGGAGCACGTTAATGAGGTAGTGGTGCGGGGTCGGGATCACCGGAGGCACGTTCTCCGGTTCCGTTGCCCGTTCCAGCGCCTCGAAAAAGTAATCGCAAACGGATCGGCTGACCACACTCTTCCAGTGCTTCTCCAGAAAGATATCCCCCGATGCGTTAACCAAGAAAAGACTGTGGATCATCGTGACAGCTGGAAAGACAAATCAAAAAATGTGAAACGCAAAATTACAAAATACTTTTATGACAGACATGATGATTAATGCAGATCTGAAGCCTACATGGTCTTTAGTCGTTCAGGCAACAACAGAAGAGTAAACCTGCCAGCATCTTCATGGGTAACTGATAGGCCTCTGAGCTCATTTGTTATTCTACATCCCTATCTGGTTACCGGATAGAGAATAGATCGGATGAAGAGACAGGAACGAGTTGGTTTAGTTGTTGTTAACATGATCACATCACCATCCCCGTTTCTATGCGTTAATATTTTCTCCTCCCCTCTCTCGCATCACAGGACTGTCTTGTGACAAGCTACGGATTAAAAAGGTTCATTCATTCGACATTTTCACCAGGCGTTTCTTTTTCTTTTGGTGTAAATGCTCATATCGTATACATTAAATAATACTCACGATTTCTGGATTTTATTTCTGCCCCTTCCCGTGATTTTTTTTAATAAAGCAAAACCAGAAATGTCGCTTCCTTCTCTGTTATTTTGAGACTAGAAAATGTGTTATTGACTGTCATTCGTTCTGACCAATGGTGGGCTACGTATAGCACGTGTGCCCGCCCACTCTAGTTTTAATTGGTATATATTGCGGAAGCTAGTTGACAATAATACTCAAAGGTCATTGGACAGGGGCAAATAAACGTCACCGCACAGCGTTTTTTTTTATTGGCTCAAGGTATCGTGCCCTCTGATAATGGGAATAAAGCTTGAAAATAGGGCTGCCAACATCTCCATAGGATAATAAACTCTCTACATAATGCATTTATATAAGACATATTGCTTTCTTTGCATATAAACAAAAATCATTAAAAATATTTTGTCTCCACATAGATGCCTGTTAATCCTGTCACCATCTTGTGTTTCTATATAGACAGATCATTTTCATATACAATAATAAAACTAATTTTAGTATTAACAGAATGTTTTATTCAAGCCAGTTGTGTCCCCATGACTGTTAAACTACACTGTCCAAAAACAAACATAAAAATAAATCAATCCTGCTTAAAACTAAATGTAAATAAAAGTTTCAATGTAGCTACTTTTCTAAATCAAACATTGCAAATAATCAGGCAGATATTTATGTGACAGGGGAATAAATAAAAGTTGTGTCCGAATTCAAATACCTATAGGCATCATAATAGACTCTAAACTAACTTTTAAATCACTATTTTAAAAAAAGGTCTGCAATCGAGTCAAATTTAAGATCACACTTGTCACGTCAGGCAGCTAAAATGCTCAGTATGGTTCTGTCTCACATCACTGTCTTACAACCTGGTCACAGGCAAACAAAACAACACTAAAATCACTTTATAGAGTCACTTTATAAACAGACAATCAAAATTGTGGATAAAAACATTAAGATATCACCATTGTGCCATTTTACAAAAGCATAAGCTTTTAAGTTGGGAAAATGTCATCAAGTATTCAAACCTGTATACAAAATCATCCATGGTCTGTCATCTCCTCCACTCAGTCAGTTCGTAAACATCAGGAACACCAGAGAGTAACGCGAGGGTCGGCCCAGGAGACTGTTGTTCCTCTGCGGAAAAGTGCATTTAGTCAGAGTGCCTTTTCAGTTTCAGCAGCACAGGTGGAACTCTGTCCCTCAGAACATCAGAGAACTCACCACATACACTCTGTTCAAAAAGATCTAAAAAACTGGTTCATAACACATCAGACATGTCAGCATTAATAAGAATATGTATCTTGCCATAACCCAACCTGCTGCCACTTGTGTCTCTGCTGTGTCAATGTGTATAATAACTTTTATTTTATTTTAACATAATGCCTGTATTATTGCAAACTTGTACACTGCAACAGGATTTGAAGAGTTATATCTGTTTTACTGCTTTTTATATTTGTATTGTTCACTGTAATCTTCTTTTAGATATACAGTGAACAATACAAATATAAAAACAACGGATGAAAAATAGCATTTTGGCTAATTCTGGTGCATTTGCAGCAATGTTAATTAATGTACACTCTCCCTGTCAAATAAATAAATAAACTATTAAATAAATATTTAGAAATAAAATGCCATAAGTGATTTATTTAGGTATGACAGCATCCTATAGTCCAGTATAAAAGATGGACATATTTTGAGATCTACTAAAGATTAACTTAAAAAACATTGTTAAACAATGTTATTAAAGACTTTAAGTGTGTGGTATATGATGACAAAGGTAATCTAACTGTAAAAATAGATTTAATCTTAAATATATAATAAAAATATTATATATATATAAATTTGAAAAATCAGCACAAAACCCTTCAAATACATCATAGTTTAATGATGAGCACAATAATAAACTAAAACAGACAACCCTGTTTTTAAATGCAAAGAATTTCCCAAGTTAGCGACAGATGGCACAACGCAATTTAACAAAAAGACTTGTCTGATAGAATGTTTAAAGAAGTTTAGTGTAAAAGAATAAAATGGAAAAGCTCAGAAACCTTATTCAGCTAATACAGTTTCTAAATAAGAGATCAGTTTTTACTCATTTACAAGACTCCACTGACTACATTAGGAACACAGTAAAGATTAGCCAGTTTTCAAAACCTGAACAAACTCCATCTGACTGAAGCACACTCTGCTTTTGAAATGATAGAGTAGCATGACTTTTTATTAAAATAAATGAATGATTTGCTCCTGAAATTTTTCAAGAAATACAACAAGTGAAATGGCTCAACATAATTTATTTTTGTTTCATGTTAAAATGTACAGAGTTCTTTGAAAGTACTTGCTAAGAAAAAAAGAAAAGAAAGAAACAAATAAATGGAAATACATACAAGGACAAAACAGAGAGGAGTGGAAGGTGGACGCTTCCCACCATCACAGAGCGCCCCGGCTTGGCTCTCTCTCTTTCTCCGGCTACCAGGCTCTCTCTTAGCTTACAACTCACCATGTACAATTACAAAGTATACGAAAAGGTAAGCAATATAAACAGACAGAAATATACTGAGCTCATTTTTACATGCCTCATAGATGTAAGGAAGTTGTCCTATACACACACAATAACCAAGAAAATAAAGAAAATAACGCTAAGTGACCTTTAGATATCTGTTTTTTCCTTTTGTTTTAAAATAGCATTAATATACTACACAAAGATAGAAAACTCTAGAGATGAGATGGAATGGAAAGGTTAAAGGCATCTTAAATTCACTAAAAGTGAGTTGTAATTTTTTTTAGTTTTGAATTTCTTAATAATTTTACCCCAAGAGTCGAGCTAAAAAATATGCATTGTTTTTTCCTGAAACAGAAGTGAAAAAAATGACAGTACCAATATCCATGTCAGAATTTCTTTTTTTATATTTTAGAAAAAACATTTTCTCTACAATAAGTCTTCTAAAGTCAAAAAGAGTCAGCTTGTGTCATAAAAGAAAGCTGCCCAGTCTGATAAAATTCAGAAAAACAAAAGCGCACAAATAATATATGAAACGTCAGGTCTTTGAGAAAGATTCCTCATATTGACAATGAATACTGGAACATTAAGAAATTCTCTGCCCGCTGTCCTAAAACAGTAACATCTCAGGACATCATGCACTTTAACCTTTATCCCGGGTATGAGTGTTCGTTTGTCCATGTGTGCATTGCAGACACGGATCTAATTATTTGTACAACTCCCTCTCGTGGCTAACAGACAACATTTCCTCTGCATGATCAGCTGGAGTACGAGGAGCGCTACTTACTGGTGCCACAGTAAGGCCTACTTTAGGAGGCATCGTTAACATCATTGGATGAGCACAGTTCAAAGCTAACTGCTCAGCAGATGTACTCCTGTGTGGTTCAACCCTTTTGACCCACCACATTAAGTGGACGCTGCACTGTGTAGTATGAAATTAAAGACCTTCCCACTATTGACATCTGTGGAGTGTTCGTGAAAAGTGTGTAATAGATTTCACGAGTATGTGCTGTGAACCAGGTAGTACCAGAATATTTACATTATTAATTTCCATGGACTTCTGTTCAGTCCAGTCTATGGACGCATGGTCATTACTATTTAAGTCCATTAGGGCTCTTACCACTATTAAGTTGTGATGTACACGGTTCCATAATGGGAAGACACAGATTTACAGACAACTCGGACACCTTGTGCGTCCCGACTAGAAGTGCCTCCACGTAAGCTTTCAAGTGGCTATAGAGCTGTGTGTGTGAGCGACTGTATTCATGAGTGAGTGAGTGTACGAGTGAGCGAGCATGAATCACTTTGTCCAGAACAACCACACACATAAAGCATGAGAAGGTCAAACTGAAACACAAGCATTTCAACAGTCATTGAAAAAAAAAAAGAGAACATTTTAAAAAATAAAGTAAATAATAATAATATAATATAAAAAAAGAAAAAAAGTCCATCTACAATTATTTTGTCTCTTTTAAGGTAAGGCTTCCTATGTCAATTGAACGATTGTGTGCATGATTCAATGTATGTTCATTAGCAACGTAAATGTATTTGTTTCTCAGTTTGAAAAGTTAGGTCCACTTCCCCTTTAGCTGCTTATATGCTTTGCCCCTTCTGTCGCATGGATGGAGTGGCGGACACTTCGGCGGACCAACCCTGTTGGTACAACCGTGGCAGACTGGTCTGAAGGACTGAAGGAGCATGACACTTGCCACAATAAAGGTCCATTAGATCATCTCGCATGATCAGCCCATCATCATTTCCCCAGCTCCATCAGCTCAGGCAATTGGGAAATGAACCTAAAAGGAACAGAGCTTGACGACAAAATATTTATAAAGGAAAAGAAATCGTCGTAGTCTCTATGTCCTCTTCCTCCACCAAGCTCACTTATCGTGTTGCTTTTTCGCCCAGACTTTGGAGGGTGGAAACAAATGGATCAAGTACAGAGATGCAGAGTCTGGTGGGGAATGTCTCTCAGTTCTCTCTGCTAGTTCTCTGGTGCTCATCTGCTCATGTAAGGCGACTGTTTGGGGACGCCAGCGTAGCTGTGGTGTGAGGGGCCCGTGTACATCATGTTTCCATGATGATTGGGCTGCATAGGCTGCTGTGGGTAACCCTGCCCTCCCATCATGCCCATTTGCATTTGCATGGGGTATTGGGCCGGCTGGTTCATATAGGGCGGGTTACTGTGGTACCCGCTGTTCATCATGGGCTGCGGCATGCGGTAGCCAGCTGACATGGCAGCATTTAGCTGATTCATGTTCATAGAGTTGTAGGCAGCAGGTGTGGGCATAAGGTTGGTCATCATGCCACGCTGCACCGCTAGAGTGCGTGGGGAGCCTTGCATGGTCACAGCGCCAGAGCTGCGACTGTACAATTGCTGCTGGTGAGGGGAGCCTGCAGGAATTTGAGAGGCTTTGGAACGAATTGAAATGTGGCCTTTGACAGTAGCCATTTGGCCTTGCAACCGCTGAGTATGGGGAGGGGGAGGTAGTCCGATGTTAGCGCCTGTCATGTTGCACTGAATCAAGGGAGAGCCCAGGTTCATGGAGCCAGAACTCAAATTGGGAGGTGGGGTCATAGTGGGCTGAGCCTGGGGCAAGGGTGGGTGTGGGGAAGAAGCAAGCTGTGCTAAGCCTGGGTTGGATAGCGAAACACTTGTGGCATATGAGGTGACAGCAGCTGAATGCGAGTAAGACATGGCATGCGGGTCCATGATGGTATTGGTTAGCTGCTGGAGTTTGGCTAAACTGAAAGTAGCTGAGGGTTGACCGTACCCACCCGCTCCAAAGTCCTGGCCCATGCGGTCATACAAACTCCTGCCTCCACCACCGCTGCCTGCACTTTCAGGAATCTCCATGATCATGGGTGTGGAAGCGAACCCATTTCCCATGCTGCACTGCGAGAGTGCTTGCTGTTGAGGTGGAGGGGGTGGTGGAGCAGAGGGTGGAGGCTGAGGGTTTTGCTGCTGTTGAGGTGGTTGCGAGACTTTCTTCTGTTGCTGCTGGCTGGCACTTGGAGGCCTTTCGATGACGCAGCCTTGTGGAGACTTTATACCACAAGTTGGAGTGCTGGAAGAAGGGGGAGGAGGTGGGGGTGGAGGTTGTGGGACGCCACTACCACTGTTAGCTCCAGGTCCATTAGTTGGTCCAGGACCCGCTTGCTGGATAAGGCTACAGCTCCCCATGGTGATCTGAGAGCCAACGCCTGTGCTAGAGGATGTCAGCCCAGGAGTTGAGACGAAGGAGCAGCTGTTGCCTTGCGAAGATGATGACGATGGTGTGGTTGAACTTGAGGATGAAGATGACGAAGAGGAAGCAGCCACTGCTGCTGCAGCAGCTGCAGACATGCCACCTCCATTACTTCCATTTCCTCCTCCGTTACCTCCACCACCCATGGTTGAGTCATAGCTGCTCGGATTGTCATAGTTTTCGGTGGTGCTTTCAATGCTGCCAAGGTCACTAAAGCCACTGTCCACCACTTGCTGTGAATGATCAGAAACGGATGGCACATCCATCATGGGGGAGGTTTCCATGTTTTGCAGTGAGGGAGCAGATAGAGAGCTGGGATGTTCTGGGGTTATTTGGGTATACCCTCCGCCTGTTCCCCCTCCAGTTCCTGTGGCACCAGGCACCCCTGGTCCAGGGTCCATAGGACCAGGAGTCATTCCAGGGCTGTTGACTGAACGGACAGACTGGTTTGGTAACGTGGGCATTGGTGGGTTGGGCATGGGACTGTGCTGGGAGGCTCCACACTCTTCCACCAGGGCTAGTGTTTCCTCCTCTCCCTCACCGTGACTGTAGCTCTGGAGGGTTCGACAGGCAGCTAGCGTCTCCTCACAGTCCTGGTAGGCTCCATGGGACTCTGCATCCTCCTCCTGAGACTCACCTTGCGTAAGTGACTGGACAGCTTGCACTGTTTCTAAATCCAGCTCACTGCTGTGGTGATGCGTGTGTTGCTGGTGGCTCAGGTCATCTTTGAAGTCAGGATGCTGGTGTGAGTGCTCAGCCCCCATCATGAGCACGGACTTATCCTCGACGTGTAAAGGCTGCATGTCCAGAGGTTCAGAGGGGACCGCAATGGTGGTTACTGTCTCTACAGCTGCCGCAGCTGCTGCAGATTCCTCCTGCTCTCGTCGTCGGCGTTCATCTGTATCAGCAGAGCTAGTCTTCACCTCTTGTACCTCCTCTGCATCCTCCTCCTCGTCCTCGCCCTCCTCCTGTTTGCTGACATAATCCCGTGTCACGTTGACCTGCATGTCTAAAAAACCCTCACTACTCTGGGGTTCTTCTTTCACAGGGGGAGAGCGAGCAGGCGACGATGGTTCCTCCTCTTCATCATCCTCTTGCTCCTCCACATCATCCTCAGAGTCTTGGCTCTTCTTCCTTTTACTGCTACTGCTGCAGTCACTTTTCTCTTCAAGACGACCGTCCCCTTCGTCATCTGCATCATGATCATCACTACGTCGGCTTCCTGAACCTGGTGTAGTTGCTGTTCTCCGCTTAACCCCATTATCGCAATCTTCATCATCCTGCTCTTCATCCTCTGCATCTGCCACATCTGCGTTAGCTCTTGGCTGAGAGACCCTGGTGCTGGAAGACTGTGGCATGGAACGAGACGTTGGACAGCTGATCTTCTCCACTGCCCATGGTCGGTCATCCTCTTCATCATCATCTTCTGGCTCAGACAGAGGAGAAGGTTTAGGTACAGGGGGAGGGAGGTTGGAATTTTTTGGTGGCCGACCTCGCCTTTTGGGTTTAGATGGCTCTCTAAAACTCTGAAGAAAATCATCCTCCTCTTCAGAGTCTTTCTGCTTATCAGGGTTGAGGTCAGATGTTATGGCTCTGGCTGTCCTCTTACAGGTCTTGTCCTCCAATGTTGAATTATCTAGCTGCTTCTGCTGAGCTAATCGGCTTTGCTCAAATTCCTGTCTCGCTGCTTCCTCCTGGGCCCGCTGAAGGTAATAGCTGCGAGGTTTTCTGCCAGGCTTCATTTTGATCTTTGGGGGAGGTGGGTCCTCTGAGGATGGAACTGCCAGACTAGTGTCAGCTGTCTGACCGGCTCCACTACCAGGCTTCCTGCCTGGGCGTTTCTTCCAGTGGAGTGGCTTGCGACTCTTGCCTTTAGGCCAGCCTTTCTTCTTTTTTACTGGGACCTCAGGCATCTCAGTTGTTGCCCCTGTTCTCTGTGTGGCCTCTGAAGTTTCAGGTCTTCTCAGGACATCAATTGGCTTCAGCACAGGAGTGGGATCTGAACAAAAAAAAAGAGGTAACCATTCTTTAAGAATTTTTTTAAATCACACTCTGGCAAACAAATATTACACAAAACTTTCAAGAATGCACATATAATAACCCCAGCAGGAGTCCTTTGGTGTACTAACCGTCTTCCTCCGATTCAGTCAGATTCCCTCTGTTGATACTTTTAAGGGCTGGTCCCATGTGTTTGCGGGCTGCTGTGTAGCGTCGGAGAGGGTTGCCGAATGGAGTTTCCTCTTCTAGTCTGGGCATGGGCCTTTCAGAATCTGAATCCACAAATGGCTCATCCAGAACTTCAGTAGTCTCTGAGATGGTTTCTGTAACTACACTGCTGTGGGGATGGCTGCGCTGACGTGCACGTCGCTTTCGAAAGGACTTCTGAGACTACAGGAGCAAAAAAAAAGAAAAAATCTTTATTATCCACAGCATCTTATGTTCAAAATAATAAAAAAGTTTTCATAGACTGACATACTTATTTTTAAGGTCTATATTAAATAAACATGCCATGCAAAAGAAAATACATACATTGACCTATATTGCACATACCTTGCATTTAAGCCCTAATGTGGGCTTAGTGAGGAGAGGTGGTGAACGAGCCCTTAACTCATCCTCATCCTCATCATCCTCATCATCTTCATCCTCATCCTCATCCTCATCATCATCTTCATCCTCATCTTCACTGCTCTCACTGATAAAGGCCGGACAGACTGGTGTGGGTTCACTCAGCCTTGTGGTATGGGGCAACAATGGCAGGTCATCTTCATGCCCCTCACTGAGCCTGCGTTTTGGGCCACGCTTTTTTCGTGGAGGACGCCCTCTGCTGCGTGGGGGTGGAACTGCAGGGTGCCTGGAAGCCTCCAAGGGACAGGCTGATGTAGAGTCAGGCTCATTTTCTAAGGCCAGGAGCATTGACGATGTTGTTGTCACTTTATTAATGCCAGTTCTTTCATCATCCTCTTCTTCTTCATCATCATCATCATCATCCTCCTCCTCATCATCCTCATCATCATCCTCTGGGGGCCTTAGTTTACGGGGTCGACCTGGCCCTGGACGTGGTGCATCCTTCACCTTGCCCCATAACCAGTTTTTGGGAGGGCGCCCAGGTCCCCTGCGTTCCCCATTAGCCGTAAGAAAAAGGGAAGGACGTTCAGGACTGAGAACATTGTTGCAAACAGAAGAGGACTGTGGAGGGCTTTGGTTTTTAGGCAATGCTGTGAAGCACTTTTTCTCGTCCTCCTTGTCCTGTTCTCCTTTCATATGCCAGGAGAGTGGGGAACTCTTGTGGCTGGGTTTGATCTATACAAGAGATAAGGTGCACATAACAGAAGTTCAGCTTCAGAATGTACTGATACACATCACAAATATTGCATACTTCATCTAATGAACCTTGAATAAAAGTTAAGATGCTTACCTCTTTAAGTCCCTCTCCTTCCTCCTCCTCCTCCTCCTCCTCATCTCCTTCTCCTTCAGATGCTACTGTGTTGGTGACGATAACAGGTGTCCAGCGCAAGCAGTCTGGATCAACTTCAAGAAGTCGAGGTTTGGCCTTCAGTCGGACCATGTGAGTAGCCACCAGCTTCTCTCGGCGCAGAATAATCACCCTATAATAGGAAAAGAAATCAAAATGAGGAGACTATAAAGAGAGCTAAAAATGTAACAAATGTACACTACTGCTCAATTTTAGGGGCAATAAGAACTCTTATTGTCATCAAGGATGCATTTATTTGATAAACAAATGAATAAAAACAGTAAAATGGTGAAATATAATTACAACTTAAACTTTTTTACTTTTATCATTTTAAAATGTAATTTATTCCTCCAAATGTTAAGCAATCATTACTCCAGTCTTTAGTATCAAATGACCCTTCAGTAATCATTCTAAAATGCTGATTTTGGAAACATTAATTATCAATACTAAAAAAAGCTGTGTAGCTTAATATTTTGGTGGAAAACATGATGTATTTTTTTAAGGATTCTTTGAAACTCATTTACTTGAAATAAAAATATTTTGTAACAAATGTCTTTACTGTCACGTCTGACAAATTTAGTGCATTTTTGCTGAATTAAACAATTTTTTTTTTTTTTTTCTTGTTAGCACAAAATCATAATCATGTACTTAGTCAAGTATGCTGAAGACGAAGCACTGTGCACATTTTGGAATGCAAATATTTTAGGTTGAAACATGAGAATTAATCTGTGACAGCTATGAAACAGAACTTGCATTATTGTTCTCTGCTTCAGCTTGTACAGAAAAGGTAAGACATTAAATCAGACATTATAGTGTGCGAGCGTCTCTCTCACCGGTCCCCTCTCTGTTCCAGCATATTTAGACTAAGGAGGGTGGCTGTGATATCTTGAGGACAAATGCCGGTGATTTTGCTGAGTTTGCGGATGGTGAGCTGTCGATCTCTGATCTCGTGTAGGCACTCCAGCACCACACTACGCCAATATGCCATGTAGGATAGCCGGCCAAGGTCTGACAATGGCTTCTCTGGTGATCCTGGCTGGCCTTCCCTCTTGGACAGAAGGTAACCTGCAGAGAGAGCCATAACGGTTTATCCTTTGTGTCTAATGACACCATCTAAAGGAGTATAATTGTCAAATATTTTCTTTACTAAATAACAAAAAATAAAACCACAGACTGAGGGAAGAGAGGAAAGATAATGCAGTGTACTTACTGAAGTCAATGAGAAATCGCCCATAGCCCCTGCGCTGATATTGTGGAAGAATCATGATGCAGGATACATTATATTTTTGTTGACAATGCTTCTCCTAGGGATAAAAAAAGAAAGTATAAAATGAAAGCAAATGTAACAAACATACCACACAAAATATTTGTTAGGTAAGATCTTACTTGCATACACTAACGTTTACACATATTTATTGCATTTTGTGCCATATACTGTTGTGTTTAAAACCTGTTTATTAAATCAACTCACTGTAAACATATTTTCCAGGAGCATAATCAACCCACAAATAAACAGACTATTTTCTATAATTAAGCCAAAAAGCAGCAATAATGTGCAAAAGGCATGCTACCTTATATAATAATGAACCCAAAGTGCTCAACATCATCATTTGACTTTAGAGAATGTAAAAGTAACTGAATTGATCTGAGTGAAATTATTTGCTCACCTTTGAAAAGTATCCTACGAGATGGCAGCCTTTACTGTCATTCTGTGTGAGTACATAGAAGAGGAAGGGCTCCACGTCATAGTACAGCGTCTTATGGTCCAGGAAGAGTTTGGCCAGCAGGCACAGATTCTGACAGTATATTGTGCTGACATTTCCATCCACCTGGAGTGGAGAGAAGTTTTTCAGACTTTGGTCAACTTACTGTGTCCTAACCAAATATAATGCTATAAAGCAACAATGTGCAGTGTATTTGCTAGGATTCCGACACGGTTACACTAACAATTAGCTCCCAATCATAATAGCAAAATGCAATGCCAGTAAGATTCTCAATTTCTAAATACTAAATCAACATTTTGAAAAAAGTCATGCAGCAGAGACTGGCACAAAACTTGCTCCACATGAACAGAGGCTATGACAAATTGCACGGCTCCTGCTTTTCCTGTCGGCTGAATAACAACCATTTTAGCTTTTTGCAGTGCTGCCACCACAGGTATGCTGCTGAGTCAGGACCAGACCAGGAGCAGCTCTGAAACCTGAGCCTCTAAAACCAACTGACCAAACAGGAAGGCAAGCAGTAACACACCCAACACCAAGTGGTGTTGATTAATGTGGAACATACAGGCAGGTCACACAGCGGCAGAATAAAGTTGTCAGTCCAGCTTAAGTGCACTAAACATGATTACATTCACACATACTTTAGTTATAAACAAAAAACAACTGCATTGTATAACCAGATAACAGACTCCTGAAATTTTTAAGGTTCCCACGTTTGGTTAACTTTTGCGGTGAATGGAATGGCAATGAAGGACTAGTTATGAAACATCATACAGTATAGCAGCCACTCACTTTGGTTACAGGGGTTATTGACCATCATTAGAATGATACGGATATCGACATAGTTTTAAAATTAAATTGTAAGACTTAAGACCCTTTATTTCAGGGGCCAGTTGCATAAGCATAGCTGCCCAGTTAAAACTGTGTCTTGAGAACTTGTCTAACCAACTAGCAATTAGTTAGGGCTAATCAGTCTTACTTTTCGGATTCAAATTAGATCAATCTACCTTTTTATGTAACTGACTTAAAAAAAATAAAAAAGCCTTGAAGAAACAAATTAGATGACTTTCTTGCAAGACTACTCTAAGCATATTATGCAATCAATCAGACACCTTTACTTAGACTGGGCCACACATTCAACTGCTAAACGATCAATATTGAATTTTTACGTACAATAATAATGTGTTTTAAGAAAGGCAAACAGATTATCAAGTTGATACTAGTAAAAAATATATATATACTGAATGTTTCTTATGTTCTTAGTCTTTCCTACCTCTGACAGGGCAGCCCAGAGAGAAGCCATAAGAGTTTACGTTGAATTAAATGACAGATACAGTTCATAGGGTAACCAAAATACCAAAAGTATCCAGAAAAAAAAAAGATTTTATGCATAATGCTTGATTTTTAATTATAAAAAAGCCTAAAATACACTGGGGAGTCTTAATTGGAAATGTCTATGTTTTAAACATAGTCTTGAATAGAAGCTACAGCAGGGAAGGAATTAGAAATAGCAAAAAAAAAAAAAAAAACACTTCTATGATTTCACTAAGGGTGTAAAAACCAAACCCTACCTTGCTCCAACCACGGTTCGAAACGCACTTGCACCGCGCGCGGTTCATCTAAAATCTACAATATGGCTTTGTTGAAAATAACTCTGACAGAGCTAGGCTAATGTATGTTTCTGTCGATAAATACGAATTCTGGCTTCCCTTAAACTTTGTTCAATGCAAGTGCAGTATCCTCTAATATGGCCAGTCATTTATGCCGTCATCACCAGGGTGTTGATAGAGAGACCTGAACAGCACACATTGCTATCTGTGTTTAAACTAAACTAATTTAAACCCTGCCAATTTAAATATTCAAGCGCAAGGCATGAAAGAAACAGTGGGCAAATATTGAGTTCTCTTGCATTTGAACAGACAACTTCGCACAAAATTTATGTCAAAATGCCCGTCTTGGCGAGAATCCTAGCAAACATAGTAGGTTGTCTTAAGTGAACGTAAACAGTCGAGAAAGAATGCATATGTATCAGTATCAGTGTATTGGATCCGTGCATTATGTCTTGACGTGTCAGCAGCCTAATAATCCTGCTGTCTGTGTTTTTAATGTTAATCAAACAACAAAAGACAAGAAAACCATTCACTTTTCTTGACTGAATAGCTTTTGTAACTTTAATAAGGATTATTCTTTATTTAATTCATACAGTGAAGATTGTATGAGAAGTTCTTTTAGATTTGATTACTTTATTTAATTCTATACCTGAAAACTACTGTTAGATACCTGAAAAACCTGAAAAGCACGGTTTATTTTATTTGTATCTTTGCTCTATTGTATTTATTTGTGTTGAATAAAAATATTCAACTTACATTTATTATTGCTACATTTATTTTTTTTTCACCAAAAGTACTTTGATAAAGGTGTCGACCGAGCAACAGGGCGAGCTGTCACTTTTCAAACAACTGCGGTGGAGCTCTGTGCTTCAGCCAATAACAGACAGGTCTGACTCGGGTGCAAAACCAATCAAAACTTCCAGTTCAGTTGGGGGTGGGGCGTTCAAACCGCTCTTTGACATACAATCACTGATATCACGTTTTGAATCAGTATCGCTAAAGTTTCAATATTTTAGTGAATGTTAGTTAGCTATGCTCATTCTGATTTTAAATTGTAATTGTGGCAGCGCCTGAAATGGTTCATACCATTGATATAACCAGAGCACTGAGCAGTTGAAGTAAATAGAAAACTCTGCTCATACAAGGACGCAGTTATTGTATGGACAGTGCAAGAACAATGTAAGTGTCTAAAATGCATGCGCACAGTTCAGTTTAATGGTAAAGCTTGCCCTCTTTAACAATGCAGTTAAACCAAATGTACAAAGCAAACTTTCTACGAAGCTGAAATAACCTCAATATTAGCAAAAGTGAAATAAGATTGCATGATCTATCTGTCAATCAGATGCACATACAAGTGTAGTTCGTTACTATAGCAACAGTGGGCTCCTGGCACATTTTTTGGTAGAATGAAAAAAGAGCATTTTATTTAACATGTTAAACTGTAGGCCACAATTTTTTACAGGCACTTTTCTATTCATACAGTTTTAATCCCTCATTTGATCAGACCTCTTACTTACCCTTCTTATCATTTGAATGTGTTTTTTTAAGAAGGGCAAAAGCACTTAGGTGGACTTCTCAAAATTAGTAATAAAATAATCGCTCTTGCCAACAGGGATAGCTAGTATGTTTGCTAGCATAGCGTCAAACACGACAATTTATGAGATTAATATCATGTTTCGCTCCAATTCACTATATACAACACACGTCAGTCGTGTTTGAAAAACTTCTGTGGTCAAATTATTTTTACATAAAATGCTGTATTATGCAAGTAATACAGACAAGTAGACAAGTGATTTGGCGAAGTCACTTTGTAAAGAAAGACTACGTGCCCACGCACATGCGCATTGAAATGTGCACGCCTACTGAACACGTAATACGCATGTGCATGCCGTCACCGTTTTTACAAATTCAAGGTTAAAGGAACACTCCGACTTTTTGGGACTTTAGCCTATTCACCTTATCCCCCAGAGTTAGATAAGTCCATACATACCTTTTTCATCTCCGTGCGTGCTATATTAAAATATGTCTGTGTCTCATGTGACTTTGTTTTTTGTACACTCTGTGACTATACAAATCACAACATGTAAATAGGAAAATGTTTGCGTTATTTTGTCACTTATTTGGATTAGTATGCTAGCTGCAACCATTAACATCCAGTCTTTGTGCTAAGCTAGGCTAGCGGTGGGTGCGTCAAACAGACTTATAGCACGCACGGAGATGAAAAAGGTATGTATGGACTTATCTAACTCTGGGGGATAAGGTGAATAGGCTAAAGTCCCAAAAAGTCGGAGTGTTCCTTTAAGTTTACACGGCGATGATAACGATATCGTTTTCAAAACTCATTTTCAGAAAACTATTTGATCATTTGTGTTCTCAGGCCACCAAAACACTTGTCGTGTAAATGAACATCCAGAATGCAATAAAAGTTTTCTGTTTTCAGTAGAAAACGGTGTGGTGTAAGCGGCCCCATAGTTAATATAACTAATGATTTTTACAATGGAAATGAACCAATCAAAAACTTACTAGAACGAAAGGATTCGTTTTTCTAAAGCTGATGCTTTAAAAAATTTGATAAAGTCTGGGGCCCCTTCCTTAAGTATCTTTCTAAGAGTTGAAATATGTTTGGGCATATATGTAAAGTTTGATGAAGTGATTTAAAGTGTAATTTCTTTCTCTCTGTCTGGTGCGGGCGGGCGGGGGGTTTATTTTATTTTATGTATAACATTCTTTTTGTAAACATTTTGTGAGACTTGGATATGTTTTGTGTTTGTATAAAAAACTGCTACAATTTAAAAAAAAAAAAAAAAAAAAAAATTACTAGAAAACAGGGATGGAATCACGGAATCCAGTCATAAAAACGGAATTTACTGTATAATGTGGATTTTCATGGAATGTGTCAAATTTTTGAAGAATAAATAAAAAGCAGGTTAGTACACTTAAAACAAATCGTGATATAAACCAGTGTCTGTGAATATTAAACTGCAAAAAGTATTTAAATACGAATCCTGCATGTTCTGCGTATTTCTGTGCGAATGAATGGCGTAGATGCGGTTTCATTTAAACTTTTAAATGACCAGCAGGGCCCCTGGAAAAAAGGGCCAGAAAAGGATTATCTGTTCATATAGATAGCAGTCTGTAAGCTGCTTTCTGTAGTGGATAATTTGAGAATCATATGGTTTTCAATCCCCAAACTCAAGAGTGTGAACGTAACCATGTAAGCGCAGTTAATTCTGGTCAGAAAGCACTGATTTAGACCACACCGATACAGATCTGCATGTCATGTTTACACCTAAATGTCCTTTTATAGAAACACAATGGCTGTAGTAAATCACCATAGTGATTCTGAAACAATGAGCGCTTACCACTCTTCATTTATTACCCTGCTGTGCGGCACCATTGCAACACCTCGTAAGGGCAGGAAGTGGGCGGATGTTGTTGCCTGAGCCAGTGTGGGAGTGTGAGTGTCTATCAGTGTGAATGAGATTTCCTTTGTTGGCTCAGCACGTACGAAAACACACGTGCAGGTGCATGACTAGTATTGACGAGCATTTGTCTGTGCTGCCCAGGTGTGTATAAACAGAGGTGTATGTGCGAGTGTGTGTGCATTTGTGGTTTTTATCCGGAGTGTAGATTTATTTTCCTCACCTCGAAAACGGACACGTCGTCCTTCCTGTAGATCTCGTTGGCAGGCGGGTGGAACCAGCTGCACTTTCGCATGTGCTGGTAGAGAATGCTGCGGCTCTTCATGTAGCGTAGACAGAACTCACAGAGGTAAAGCTTAGGGAGCCTGTCAAATTGAAACGATCACACATCAGTATTTAAAGCCGGAAAAAAAAATCAAGGTGCAGAAACACATCTCTCGTGCAAGCATTTAAATAAAATCAAAACAGCAAGAGTTTAAGTTTGACACTAATATGCAGAGTCACTATAATAGAGTCAACATATACATATGTTGAGAAAAGCATGCGGGGATAGATAGATATATATATATATATATATATATATATTTTTTTTTAGGGCTGTCAAACGATTAATCGCGATTAATCGCATCCAAAACAAAAGTTTGTGTTTACATAATATATGTGTGTGTACTGTGTATAATTATTTTTAATACATAAATCCCCACACATGCATGTATATTTAAGAAATATTTGCATGTATATACTGTATATAGACTGAATGTAGCCTATATATAATGTATATTTTATATAAATATAAACATTTTATATATAAATAACATTTTTCTTAAATATATACATGTGTGCATTTATATACAAAATAATTATACACAGTACACACACATATATTATGTAAACACAAACTTTTATTTTGGATGCGATTAATCGTGATTATTCGTTTGACAGCCCTATATATATATATATATATATAAAACCTCACTTATTATACTATTTATTCATATAAATTTACTTTTTATATTTTCATTTTAGTTTAAGTTTTAGTAATTTTGATATATGATTGTCATTTTTTTATTATTATTAATTCTAGTACTTTATACTTTGTATTTCAGCTTTATTCTTTTTTTTATAGTTTTAGTTAACAATAACAACACTGCTAAATTACCATGTTAAATTGACCAAATACTCAATATTAAAAAAATATTGGAAATAAGAAAATGTGATCATCCAAGGTTGCTTGTAGTTTTGGATCATGACAAGAAAATACCAATCTATAAAAAGTATGTCAACCAGCAGAGTCCATTGTTATTGATGATGGAGATAAATAGCCACATATAATCCAATAAATATAATTCTAAATATGCATTTTTAAAACAAAATGCATTTTATTTTTTCATGATGATGATTATGGCACATGTTGTTGGTTACCTGCTGTACTCCTGTGGGTATGGCGAAGAGTACCACGTCTGTATTTCATACTTCCCAAACTCAATAACTGATGGGCATCGCATCTGGGGGTCCGGTGGACCAGTCACTCCGACTTTCTATAACAGTTCAAGCACAAGAAAGTTAAGAAAAAGATACCAGTGGGCACATACAATTTAGAGACTACTAGGCCACTATGGCACCGAGAGCGTCCTGCAACACACAGAAGAGAACAAAGTCACTCTTTTACACAAGAAATGTGTCAAGGCTCTGACTTTTATTCTAATAATCAAGAACAGTTTTTCACAAGCATACAGCTCCCCACTAAGACTTACAAGATTATTATTATTAGCTCTTACCCACAGACCAACTGGACATTGAGAGCATCTGCCACTCACCAGCCTGCTGACACTCAGTAGTGATCACACACTTTTCTGCTCTGCATCTCAATAACATATGCAATCCATTTATTCCATATACAAACTAGGGGCGAATCAGCTTGTTGAACCACCGTTTAGATCATGTCATGTTGGTTTTGAAAAAAATGTGTATTAATTGTAACATTTCCATGTTCAAGAGTAAGTACTTTAAGGAAACTAACAAAACACAAATGCAAACAACCAAAAGTAAATACAAATATGAGCAGGTCTATACTTAATGTATAACAAGTTCTACTAGCAATCAAGCTGCACATGAATCAATGCAAATGTTCATGGTCACATTCAGATACACTGAATAAAAGAGTTAGTTTTTGACCCATGTATCCTTGTTTTGTAATAAATAAGGTTATGATAACCAATATTTTATATTCCAGTGAAGTTGAACAATTCTCAATTCCATTTTCGATACCACAGCTAAAACACCAAACTAATATCAATTTCAAAGATTAGACCGTCATTAATAAAAAAGAACAAATAATTAAACTACAAGCAATTGCACAAATAAATAAATACAACAGAACAAAGATAAAATAATAAGTGCTTTTAAAGTTTTTCAGGTAGGTCTATCATCAGTAGTTTTCAGGTACAGAAATGTAATAAAGTAATCAAATGTAAAATAACACTGCATATAATCTTCACAGTACAAATTAAATAAAGGTTAATCCTTATTAAAGTTACAAAAAAGTTATTCAGTGAAGAGCAGGGAGTGATTTTCTCTGTCTTTTGTAGTTTGATTAACAACAGGAATATTAGGCTGATGTCACTTTAAGACTAATGCGCAGATCTAATAATGATACACATGCGTTCTTTCTCTACTGCTTACTTAAGCCAAAATCAACTATGTTTACTTGGATACTCGCAAAGGCGGGCATTTTGAGATAAACTTGCGTGAATTTGTCCGTTTAGGTGCAAGGAGACGTGAAAGAGAATTCATTTTATCATTTGCACGCTGTCTTGAGACGCGCAGCTGTGCGATTCAGGTGAGTTCACACAATTCCAATTTATTTATAAAGCACATAATAATACAACAAAGTTAACCATAGTGCTAAAACAATAAAACAAAAAAATATGTATAATATATAAATAATATATAATTATTAAAACATACATTATTATATATGTATAATATATAAAAATCAATATCAAATTGACCACATTTAAAAAAAACATTAATTGAAAAATCTATTAAAAAAAAATTGTGAATCGACCAGATTAAAAAAAAAAAAAAAAAAAAAAAAAAAACGATTAATTGCAAAATCTATTTTTTTTTTTGTGCCCAGCCCTAGTTTTTATTAGATAATACATCTTTGCAGTGCACATGGCCTAAATGTTATAGAGCAAACAAATTCAGTTTTATTGACAAACTATAGCATGGTATTCTTTCTTTCTGTCTGCTCAACACAAGCGTGCTGGTTCTTTCTGATGCAGTGTGTGCAAATATGATTGTATCTCTCTGGGTTAGTGTGTGTTTTTCTTCGACTGATGGCCTCAGGCAGTCAGAGTGGCTGCTTCTGCTGGGAGCTTCAAATCACACACACACGCACACAAATCAGCCAAACAGTCTACACATGTGCATTTGTGTTTGTGTGTGTATCACTGAGAGAGGCACCAGCTGTCAAGATAATGGAAACTCTCAAATCCCCCACATTACATTCTGCAGAGATAAAGGCCTTGACAGCTTCCAAGTCTTCACTAATATAGCAAAAGAAAATTCAGTGACTGCAAACAAGCAATGGGCACCCCTACCATCAAACATACGATTTGTAGACAGGATTCGGTTTGATTTTTATTGAGGGCTGTCAAAGTTTACACATTAGTATATGGATTTAATTAAATGTTGTTGTTGTTTTAAATGTCATGAATGCATTTTTTTGGTAACAGTTTCATTCTGTTCTGTGTGATTTCAAAAAACTGAGCTGCAGAGCAAGCCTTTTCCCCCTCCCTTTTTGTACCTGTAGTGCCAGTTCCTGAATGTGCCTGAAGAGCTCCACGTCTTTCTCAGTTAGATTTTCATGTCCTGGCAGCTTGTCTTCGTCCTCCCGCCAGTTGTCTCCACACTCCTGATTGTCTGTGATGCAAACAGACACCAAGACAGTTAAAACACCCAGAGTGTAGACTTAAAAAGTTAATTATTAAATTCATATGGAACAATAGAAGATCCAGAATTAGATTATCTCTTTTATATTTGCCATTTGATAGGGGGGGGGGCTTCAATGCCCTAATTTTAAAGGGTATTATACTGCTGCCCAGTTAAGATCTATTATGTTTTTCTTCTCACCATCTAATGAACAACCCGTATGGGTAGAAATTGAAAAAAACTCTATTCCGAATAAAATACCCTTGGAATCATATTTATATGATTTAGATCGTAAAATTTTACAGAAAATGAAGGGTAATGTTACGAATCCAATGGTTTTAAATATGGTGAGGGTATGGCATGAGACGCAGAGTAATTTGAATATCTCCTATACAAGTGAGATATCTCGCTATTGTCCAATATGGGGAAACCCTAAGTTTAGTCCCGGAAAAGTAGATGTAGGTTTTAAGACGTGGGCAGAAAAAGGTATTAAAAGTATAAAAGATTTATATAAGGAAGACAATCTTATGTCATTTCAAGAATTGAGTAATACATTTGATATACCTAAAAGTCATTTTTTTAGGTACTTACAGATAAGAAGTTTCATTTTATCATTTCAAAAAAGTACTGGAAATATACCACCATTATCAGTTTTGGAAAGAGTAGTCACCAAAGATTGTTATGATAAAGGTCGGATTTCACTTCTGTATAATATTTTGGTAGAGGGCTCCCCGGAGTCTTCTAGCTCTCGTTTAGGAGCATGGAGTAAGGATCTTAACGAGGAGATCACACCAGATGAATGGAGTGAGATTTGTCAAGATGCTCAAGTACAAACAGTTAATATAAGATTAAAGTTGTTGCAATATAATTGGCTTATGCGTATATACATAACTCCAGTATTATCAAACAAATTTAATGAAAATATACCAGATACATGTCCCAAGTGTAATGTTTGTAAAGGTACCTATTTCCATTGTATATGGGAATGTGAAGAAATATCGAAATTCTGGAAAGAAGTGCATAATATGATTGGTAAAATTATAAATGTGAGTCTTCCTTTTGGACCAAGGATTTTTCTACTGCATTTGTATCCTAAGCTTAAGTCAAAGGAATGTATCTTTATTTCTATGTGTATCTTACAAGCTAAACGCCTCATTGCATTACAATGGAAGAATCTAGAACCACCCAGCATTAAAAGGTGGCTCAGGGAGATGGTACTGAATATGTCAATGGAGAAAATAACATATATTATTAAAGGAAAGGGTAAGACTTTTAAAGATGTTTGGAATCCCTTTAGATCCTTCATAGAGAAGGAGGATAGTGACATGTTTAAAGAGACAATTGAAGATATGTGAGATTATAGGATGTATTTGTATTAGGAGGCCTTAATAGTTTGTATGTTTTTTTTTCTTTTTTCTTTTTTTTTCTTTTTTTTCTTTAGTTCATTAGTCTTGAGGATGTGAGTCCTGTACAAATTGAGATATGCTAAGTTGTAATGATGCGAAAGACATCAATATGCGTCTATACTGTATTTTGTATTTTTGTTCCTGGTGTGTGTGTAATATATGTTGTTAAAAAGTTAATAAAAAAAAAAAAACACCCAGAGTGAGTGCGAGCACAAAACTGAAGGTACAAAGCAAACACACTAATAAAAGACACAGCAGACTCACATTTATTATAACAATTATAATGTTCAAAATAATTCCTTCGTTAATAATTCGTTACACAGAACTTTGTTATATTAAATATTAATCAAAAATGATTCACACCTTCACAAATTTATTTTAAGTTTATTTGATTCACAGCTTAGTGTTTTGACCTCGACAACCCAACTGCATTTTACCGCAAACTTGCGACTAGTTAACTTTCTAAAGAAGGCGCAATCGCTTGTTTGCTAAGGGGTCAAAATTCTTGTTTTTCCTGGGTCAAAATTGGTCTTCGGTGGTGGCCGACGGACACGGTCTTCCTTTCTTGCCCTCTTTTTTTTCTTAAAAGCTGTGATTTTACCTCTGGATTTCATAGCTTTGAAAGATAAAATCCTTTGCTAGACCTAATCATTTTTTTGGTATATCATATCAATTTCAAAAAGTAGAATAAAAAAAGTAGCATTAAAAAGTTTATTTTAACTAAGAGTCTAATTTTCTACCATATACAATCGAATACAATTAGCAGTTAGCTATAAACAACTTGCTTTGCACTTTTTTTCTGGTTTCGCCTCACTGGTTTAGTTCATACTTGGTAATCGTTCAACACATTTTCATATAAATAAACTGAAAATATTGTAGTTTATTAAGGTTAAATCTTGCTAACCACTCCTACTAAAAAAATGGGGTAAGCACACTTACATTCTCATTTTAAGAGGTGTTCTGAGTAAATTTGGTTTGACTTGTTTACATTAGTCAATGTATTAAGCTAACTAACATGAACCATGAGCAATACATTTGTTACTGTATTTTTTCATCTTTGTTAATCTCAGTTAATAAAAAAAAAGTTTTATTCGTGTTACTTCACAGTGCATTAGGCAAAGTGCATTAACAAATACAACTTTTGATTTCAATAATATAGGCTATAGTAAATGGTGAAATTAACATAATAAAGATTAATAAATGCTGTAGAAGTGCGGTTTATTAACAGTTAATGTTAACTAATGTAGTTAACTGAGTTTAACAAATGGAACCTTATTTGTAAAGTGTTACCGATTTGTTATACACCGATTCGGACGTCTCATGAGTTCAGTGATGGACAGATCAGTTGTTTTAACCATTCATTAAATTGAATCGGTTCAAGGAGTCATAAGTTCGCAAATCGGACGCGTCATTAGCGGACCACGGCACGCGTTGTGTGATTATCCCGTCAGTTTAGGACATCGCACAAGATTCGTGTAATTCACACCCAGCGGTAATTCAGGGAAAAAAACAAGCGCAGCAATCATCTACATCACTCACCAATCAAATAAGGCTTTGGCTGGACAAAAATTCGCTTTGGCGGCCAAGAGAGATGGAGGGAGAGCAGGGAAAGGAAATGCAGCTGAACAAATACGCTGCGTGTTTTAAATAGCGTAAAAATAAAAGAATAACGAAAAGCGGTAACACTTTACAAGAAGGTTCATTAGTTAACTACATTAGTTAACATTAACTAAGAATGAACAATACTTCTTCAGCATCTGTTAAAGGGATAGTTCACTTTGAAATTAATTTTTGATATGTTTTAGCTTACCTCCAGTGCATCCAAGATGTAGGTGTCTTTGTTTCCACAGTATCTTCAATTTTGATAATTTTAGGTAAAACCGTTGTTGTCTGTCAGTCATACAATGGAGGTGAAGGGGGTCCTCCTCAAAGAGCAGTCAAAATTAAACATTATTTAATGACTCGTAAATGTAAGTACACATTGATGCCCTAAGACACGAAACGAGTGGTTTTTGTGAGAAAACGAACAGTATTTATATTGTTTTTACCTCTTGTAACCACAGCCATGTCCAAGTTATCTGAGGGCGCGGACGCTTCCGTGTGTGACGTGTACGCAGACTGGTGCATAGATAAACTAGATGTCGCCTTGGCGACGGCAGTTCATTGGAACGAAACCTTAGCCAAGGCGACATCTAGTTTATCTATGCACCAGTCTGCGTACACGTCACACACGGAAGCGTCCGCGCCCTCAGATCACTTGGGCATGGCTGTGGTTACAAGAGGTAAAAACAATATAAATGCTGTTCGTTTTCTCACAAAAACCACTCGTTTCGTGTCTTAGGGCATCAATGTGTACTTACATTTACGAGTCATTAAATAATGTTTAATTTTGACATGCTCTTTGAGGAGGACCCCCTTCACCTCCATTGTATGACTGACAGACAACAACGGTTTTACCTAAAATTATCAAAATTGAAGATACTGTGGAAACAAAGACACCTACATCTTGGATGCACTGTAGGTAAGCTAAAACATATTTTAAAAATTAATTTCAAAGTGAACTATCCCTTTAATCTTTGTTAATGTACATTTCAACATTTACTAATACTTCATTAAAATCTTGTTAACATTAGTTAATGCACTGTGAAATAATATGGACAAACAATGAACAGCTGGATTTGTATTTAACTAGCGTTAACAAAGATTAACAAAAACAGTAACAAATGTATTGCTCATGGTTAGTTCATGTTAATATATTAACTAATGTTTAATAAATGAACCTTATTGTAAAGTGTTACCCGAAACGCAGGCTGCGGGTAACACTGTGGCGGCGGGTGTTGAATCTGTGGCGCACTGCCACGAATTAGTCTATGTGTGGGAAACACTGCAGTAGAGTTATACAATCATTCATAGACAAACGCACTATTTAAACATATTATTCAATTTATTACTTCTATATATATTTATATATTAAGTTGCTCAAGCAAGTGGCAAAACCTTTAAACATAGCCTATTCTTTTCTTATGTTAAAATCACAACAATTTTAAATTAAAATGTAAAGTTGACAAAAACAGCTAACTCTAATGCTTTTTCTTTTGCATATAAAACTTTAAACAAGAAATCCTGCGGGTCAAAAAGTAATGTGTTGACTGTGAAACACAGTAGAGTTTAATTATATGCGTTTATGGTGAAATTACTACACACTAAATACGCACTGCAAATGGAGTAAATGCAAACCTGGCATAACATTTGAGAGCAGTTCTACAGATGATGGGGACCGGCACCGGATTTGGTAGAGCTTCTATAGTATGATATCATACTGAACTGACCTACAGCCTCAGTGTTTATAAAAGGAGCGCTCTTTAATTGCTCTGTGTGTAATACACATTTAAAAAAAAAAAATCTTCATGAAATTGTGACTTCTACACAATCTTCATACTTAAGCATAAAAAGTGCAAAACTTTGACACAAAAGTGATTTCTTGAAGATTTGATATTTTATAAAAGTGACTGTATAGTGTGTAAATATAAATTCAAAAGCACAATGTGTGAAAAAAATATATTAGCAATAATAATAATTTGTTACATTTATATTGTAGCGTTCCATATAAAAGCGTCCCACTTTCGGTTTTCATCTGCCGTTTGATGTTTCTCATATGCAACAGAAATGGCAGCTCTTATCAGTTGGACAACGTGGTGGTGACACCAGTGCAACCTCTAACAAAATTTAGTCACACCGGCAGGACAAAAGGTTGCAAAATGTGACCCTTTGGTTGCAGTCTGGAGCCCTGCATTGTGCAACTGTTTTCAACACTGATAATAATAATAGTTTCTTGAGCACCAAATCAGCATATCAGAATGATTTCTGAAGAATCATGTGAAGACTGGCAAAATTCAGCTTTGCCATCACATTACCTAATATTAAGGCTGTCACTTTTGTGAAAAAATCCTGTTCGATTTTTGAGACATAAGTGTTCATTGAATCGATTGTAAAATCGATTTTCCATGTCTAAAGACGTTTCCATTTTCAACACCAAATATAGGCAAATCCACGGACAATTAACAGGCATTAGGACGAACGTAAAGAGGGCGCTTGAGACGCACAAGTCAGCAATATTTCTGATGATTTATTGGCGTGAAGTTTCGTGCACAATGACAAACAGGAGCGCAACATTCAGGGATTGAAATTAACACCCTCCGACTCGCTAAATGCGGGTAAAAATGAACTTTGGTGGGAAACGCTGTCAAATCACGAGCCAATCTGGCGTGTTTCTGTGTTTACTCACTTTGCTGGGGAAAGTGAGTAAAGCGCAAATACACAACTGATGATCCTCATGATATATAAAATACAGCGTATTGCGCAGAATCTGTGCATTTCTGGCTTACTTGAACACACACACACACGTCACTAAGCAACAAATAGCGGCGCGCTTGTTCACTTCCATTAAAGTAATAGCGAATATTAAAAAGCATTTGGTTAACAGAAAAGACATTGTTATTTTCCAACATCCTACATGTTCTGTGTGCTGTATTGATCTGTCCACCTAAAACACATTTTTGGTAAAAAAAAAATCTTTTTTTAAAAAAGGCCGTTAAAATCGATTCCCTATTTTCGTTTTCGAAACTTGTGTTGGTTAGTCCGATCGATTGTGCAATCGATTTTCGAACGTAAAGTGACAGCCCTAACGAATATGGATATTTAAAAATAAAAAAAAATAAAAAATTTAAAAAAAAGCTAAACTGACCTATCTCACCTCCTGTCCTGTCATCATGCTCGCCCTTGCGGTTGCTCTTCTTGCGTATACGATATTGCTGGGAATAGTCCACCACTTCAGCACGGGCTTTCCTCCCATCCGGGGATGGCGTGAAGAACTTGCTGAGAGCGTCAATCAGACCCTTTGTTTTCTTGTTAAAACGCAGGCCACCATGCCCAGAATCTTCTTCTCGGAGAGAGAACAGCATGCGATCGTCACCAGGGTAACCTTCGCATGAGGAGCTCGAGGAAGAGTGTGGGGAGGAGGAGCCTTGTGAACACCGATCCACCCCTCCGGTGCCCCGCCTTCTCCTGCCACGCCCACCACCTCGAAGCTTCTTAAAAGGTCGGCCCGGTCTAAGAACAAGAGAGCTTGTAGTAGTCTTATGAAAACTTATGCAAATCATTTCAACATAGTTCTGCAATCATGGTCATAAAGAGAATCAAACAGTTTAATATACCTGCCCTTTGGTCGCCCCAGTGGTGCATTGTATCGCCGTTTGATTTGTGCTGCTTTTTCATGTAAGAGCTTTCTTCCCTTTTTTCTTGGCCGACAGATCTGACAGATCCACATGCCTGCGGAGCAGCAATCAAGAATCATTACTTGGATGTATAATTAGAAAGAAAACTAATTTGTGTGTGAAGGAATTCATCAACACGATATGCAGTTAATAGAGGGAACGTTAAATTAAACATATGAGCCTTAGACACAAATCCACTGATTACACTGTAGTAGAAACGGCCTGCATTTGAGTGTGTGGGCATACACCTTTTGGCATTCGCATCAGTGGGGGGTCACAACACTCCATGTGGAAACCTCGGTCACAGGAGTCACAGAACAACATGTTGTCCTGTAGAATACAAATGCACACAGACAACACAAGAGTCAAGGACCCTAATTATGAATTTTTGCCATTTTGAATGCTAGGAGTTTGTGACTGCTTTTGAGATCTTCAGTTAAAGAGATGTGGTAAGGAACGCAAGGCTACGATGAAGTAAAAAAAAATAAAAAAATAAATGTAAACCAAGACAAGCTTCATGTAAACATTACACAACCAGAAATCGGTGGTATCAGGACAGAATTTTGACAACGTCCCAATACACCTAATACACTGTTGTACTACACTAGGGCTGCACGGTATGACGATATGTATCTTAGTGTATAAAAGGTATATCATTGGAGATTTTGCTATATTGTGTACATCACAGTACATAAACATATAAGTGTAGCACAGCACTATTGACACTTTAGAGTGATGAAACGCATAAATGAGCCAAAGAGCAGGACTTTCTTGATGTTAAAAACAGTTAAGCGCAATAAATCGTGATAAAGAACTCAATGCGTGCTTGCGCTGACTGACACACACAGCTGAACCACGAGCACAAAAAGCCACATATCTAAGCATTGGATCGCAAATTCAGTTCTCTTTCACGTCTTATTGCACTTGAAAGGTCGAATACACACACAATTGTCAAAATGCCCATCGTGAGGAGTGTTCATGTAAACACAATCGGTTATGTCTCAAATGAAAGGAAACAGTTGAGTGCAAGTTAAGACAGAACGCACGGATCTATTATACTGATACATATTTAAAGTGACAGCAGCATAATATACCTGCTGCCCTCTGTCATTAATGTTAATCAAACACAGAAAAAATAACTTCCTGCTCGACTCTCACCTCCTGACTGAATAACTTTTGTAGCCTTAATAAGATAAATGTATTTTTTTACTTTAAATGTATTTATGCATGTCTGTAATTCATATTGTTAAGACTATGCAGTACTTTGTGTACATTTGATTATTCATTTTCTGTTTCTGTGTATTTAACTACATTAAATAAACTTAATGTACATGAAAAACTTAATTTGTTTAATTCATATTATTGCTATACTTATACTATACTTTTTGCATATTTATACTATACTATTTGTCCTATTGTTTGTCATTGGCTTATTTTTAATAATAAAAATATAATAAATTGTGATATACATTGTTATCATAAAAAAGATTATCATATTTTGAAATAGGATTTTAGGAAGTAGGAAGTACATACCGAACTGCATAATGTAAGCTACAATTCAAAAGTTGGGGTCAGAAAAAAAAAAAAGAATTATACTTTTATTCAGTACGGATGCATTATATATATTGATGAAAAGTTACAGTGAAGACTTAAGCCCAATTTATACTTCTGCGTCGAACTCACGCCGTAGCTGTGTCGTAGGTTGTGTAGCGCGCGTACCCTTCGGCGTACCCTGATGTGCACCTCTCCAAAAATGTAACAACGCGTCAATTCTACGCGTACCGCAAGCGCTGTGATTGGCCTGCTAGAACCGCTCCTCGGGTTTCACACGCTCCCTCTGCATGTGTAATTGCGCATCAACGCGGACAACGACGCAGAAGTATAAATGAAAACCAACGCGTAGTCTATAGCGTAGAGGCTCCGGCGTAGGTCCGACGCAGAAGTGTAAATCAGCCTTTAAAATTTCAAATGCTGTTCCATTTGAACTTTCTATTCAGCAAAAGAATACTGAAAAAGTCCAGTTTCTGTACAAATATTCTATATAATAATAAAAAAAAATGATTGAGCACCAAATCATTAGATCAAATAAATGCAGCTTTGGTGATCATAAGAGACTTCTTTTAAAAACGTTTGATTTTTTAAACCTTTTGAACAGTAGCGTAAATGAGGACGCAGCCTAAATTAACATGATCTGGCATCAACAATGAGAAAGACCCTGGAAAATCCTACTGCATTTTTTCCTTGGTCCTGGCAGCTGCTGCAGGTCTTGCACTCAATACATTGCCACCACAGAGCTTTGACCCGTGCTGTGAGCTCCGGAGAGAACTTCAGACAGGATGGGTGCCCTGAGAAGACAGAATGAAACAACCTTAAATAACCTGAATAAAGCCTCATCCCGATGAGAAGACAGTGCCATTCATGCATTCTACTCTTATCTTGAACCATAATTATTTTTCAGGGTATTTGTTGAGTTTTGAAAATCAAATTTAAAACCTTTTAAAATCTTTAAGACATGCGCAATTAAAATTAATATTGTATATCCAATGAACAAGCAAATTCAATCTCGAAATAATTCACATATATAAGATTATTTCACCTAATTTAACATGTTTTATCCAATACATACATATGTACTGAAATTAAACCAACATAATATTAATACATACAGATTAGAGGTCAACCGATATAGGATTTTGTTTATACGACAATATTGCGTTTAAAGAAAGGCAAAAAACAGATCATTGTGCCGATACGAATTAATGTGATATGGCGTGTGAAAACATGTTTTGCCATCCACAAATTTAAGACCTTTTTAAACTTAAAAAAACTGAATACAAGAAGAATACTCTGTATTTTAAAATGTAATACATTTTTTAGTAGATGCCTTTGTCCAAAACTACTTCCAGCATACTTGGTGTTTTTAATATTTTAAAATAAAATAATATAATTGTTCTAGGGATGCACCGAAATGAAAATTCTTGGCCGAAACCGAAAAAGAGGAAACCAAGGCCGAAAACCGAAACACCGAAAGAAATTATGCCAATTATTAGTACCATTGCATTTATGGCTATGACTGTGTACTAACTTTACTAAAATCAAGGCATTGCAATTGCATAAGTTAATATTAAAGTTTCAAAGAATAAATCAATTACAAATTATGCAAATATTTATTTAGCACATTGCAACAATGCACAGTATAAAATAAAATTTAAACTAAAATGTTTAACTTGACCCCACTCATCATGTGTACATTAAATAATAAATGTACAGGCCTAACTGGCCTGATGAAAGGTTTTAAAATGAAAAGTTCTCTCATAAAAACAAAGTGCATTTAGGTCAAGGGCATTTAAAAATTTTCTCTGTAAGACTACTACAAGAAAGTGCATTCAGAACAAGTGCAACTGCTTAAAGATACAACAATATTTTCTCTGTAGGCCTTCAACATAATAGTGTATCAAAACAAAGACTGCCATAGCCCATATGTTATCTGTAGAACTTTAACAACAACAAATGCACCAAGAATTGCAGATGTGCAATAATAAATAATAAATATTTAAACACTAGACACGCCTATTCTACTTCTTGAGGTACTCTTGATGAAGAGTAGGTTCTCTGCTTTATTAATAAAAATCTTCAACTTGGGCGTCAGACGCAAATTTGCGTCAAACGCGTGAATGCACCAAATAAAATAATTTGCGCGTAACGCGCCAGACGCTCAATTCGCGTCATTTGCATGATCTCTAGACACGCGTAAACGCGTCTCTTTACATTGACTTAACATTGAAATCATTCGCGCCAGACGCTCTATTTGCGTTTGGTGTGAACGCACCATCAGATATACTGAAATACATCCACACCGCAGACATGTTGCTTCAGACAAGCACGTGCAGGTCGCGGTTTCTGTTTGCGTCATCACAACATTTCAGCCGTATTGTTTCGGTGGCCAAATATTCGGTGCGTCCCTAAATTGTTCAAATGAACTTTCACCCCTTCCTTACCGCTGTTCCCACAGTCTGCACAGGAGATTAGCTCTTCAGGCTTCTTGTCGCGGTTCTGTTCCTTGGTCCCCAAACAGAAACTACAGATGGGTATGGGCTCTGCCACAGGCTGAGAGAGAAAAACAGCAAATTATTTAATAAACAATATTAATATTTAATATTAATACATAAACTTTGCAAAAATGAAACAGAGGTCTGAATATTGTGTAAATGAGCCCAGCTGAGGACAGCATGGATGAATTAATTGCCCTTTATGAACCATATTAGGGTCTGCTTCATTCAGCTCTGAGCACTGCTTATACCTCTCTACAGAGACAGATTTAGAAAAGCCTGAAGCAAACAGATCAGCTTTTACATTCTTTAGGAAAGGAAAAAAGAAAAAAGGAAGAAAGAAACCGTATATAAATGTTACAAATTGTGTCCAAACATTTTTTTACATTTTCTGAGTGGTATTTGCCCTTTGCAAAACTCATTGCCAGCCAGTTGCTAAGCTCTCTAGAGTCAGTCAATGAGTGGCATCAGAAAGCCCAAAAACAAATCTGACACAAACCTAGTGGTTCAGAGTTTAACACTTTATTGTGATGGTCTACTTTAGACGTTCAGCTAACTAGAAGTAACTTTGCACCTACATGTAAACTAACTCTCATTTGAGTATTAGCAGACTGTCTGCTTAATATGTGCTAACAACACTATATTTTGATGCTCCCCCAACAGTCAGTCATTCTACTGACTATAAGTAACTGTCAACTATTCTACTCACCTGAACCCTAACCCTCTACAAATAGTCCATATTAGAGATCGACCGATAATCAGTTTTACCGATATTTAAGCATTTTCCCATAATCGGGTATCGGTTTTGTAATATCGGATTCAAAGATAGATTGCACACAAGACCGCCATTGAAGCACTGTGTCTGAGGGGAGATGAATCAACAACGGTGTTCAAAGGTAAAATAACTGACCTCCCTTATTTAATAAACTTTAACATAACAGCCATTAATGCACAAACGATATGTTGCATAAATGCTTGAAATGTAGTTTTAACTTGGCGCTACAGAATAGAGACAAACTGACAGTCACGTAATCTGGCCAGTCCTGTCCCAATAAAGATGCAACTTTACATTAATTGAATAAAACAGCCATGAATGAGTATATGTTGGAAATAAAAGCACTGAATTTAATGCTCTCTCTGTTGTCTATGCTCATCATTAGTCTTCACTCACCAGGTTGATGCTCCAGCTTTTAACACGAGCCACTCGTTTAAAACTCCTTAAATTATATTAACATTAACTATATAACCTTTATTTCGCAAAAAAAACATCGAAATAATTACAGCTCAATAATTAATTATGATCTCCTCCGCGAGAGAAGGTCTGTGTAACGCACAGATAAAAACAGCACTCTGTCAGCAGGTATTTTATAATCTAGATGGACAAAAACATTATTAATAATTCTGAAAACATGCCGTTGTATTCGCCGTTTTATTTTTCTGACAATGTTTATGTATTCCAGTGAATATTACAGCGTGTTCCATTCTCTTAACTCTTTAGCTTAACAAACATCACATAAACCTTTTAAAACTGTATTATGTTTAACTGTAGTTTATGCTTATATTTATGGGGAGTTGATAGATTCCCCTGTCATTTATTCATTTTCTGCATTTGAAAACAGACTTGTAAATTAATTGTGCCTGTTGTTAATATTAATGCTGTTGTTATGTAATAAAAAGATGCAACTGGGATTATTAAGATACACTAAAGTAGTAATGTTTTTTATTCAGGCGGTTTAGATTCTTTTATGCTTTTTATTTGTTAGGAGTATTTGCACATGCTATATTCGTTACCTGTTTGTTTACCTGATTAATGATCCTATTTAAAAGAGACATTTTAGTGACAGTGCACTTTTTTGCACTCTTTCAGACTATTTATTGATGTAGAAGTGCGTTTTGTTTTGCATGCAAGGAGGGAGTGAAATGTCAGAAATTACAGTATTAAAAATGTGTTAAACAGTTTGTTCAGTTCAGTGCAGCAAAAACTGTCAAAAACAGAAATAAACCAACAAATAAATATAGCTAGGTTATGTTCTGTATATATTGGTTATCGGGCACATAAACATGAAAATAATTGGTATCTGTAATAAAAAAGAAAAAAATCAATATCGGTTGATCTCTAACTCTATTGAGAGTAAGGTGGCATATGGTGCAAAGTTACTATAAGTTAGTAGAATGTCTGAAGTGGACCATCGAAATAAAGTGTTGCCCAGAGTTTTGATAATCAAAGAGGCTGCAATGGGCATGATCACAGTGATTGTGTGGGCCTAGAGGTGGGATTATTGGCAAGGGGTGGGCACAAAAGCATGTGTTGATGCTTATTCTAAGCCACACCATCTGACATTTGCTTCTGGAGCAACATTAATCTTTCAGTGTGTCCAAGAGAGACCCACCCACGATGCAGTATGCATCATACACCACACACACAGTTACATGTGAGTGCAAGGAGAAGTTCAAGAAGAAGAGCTGAACGTATATTTCTTTACAGATATTGTACAACATTACAGCCAATGGAACAGTACAAATATGAAGATTGCTACTATGATTTTGAATGCGGCTCAATCTGATAGGCTATTATGGCAGTAGCTGTAAAGAAAGACACAATGGTATTAGACTGGAAGTGTGTTCATATAGCTTTCTTGACTGGCTAGTAAGAAATGGCAGATTTAGGCTGGGAGAAAAAAGGTCAGTGCACATATGAGGGTGTTTCTATGGTTTGTGTGTGTGTGTGTGTGTGTGTGCAGGTCCAGGCAGGGAGGAGAGAGGACAGTGTGATTTATTGGGTTCATTTTCCTCTGACTCAGGTCCACACGCATCCATACTCAAGGGTGGGACTCTAAGAAAGAAAACCAAACCCTTACATACAGCTCTCTTGTTGTAAAAATGCACTTAAAGAAGCACATTTGATTATATCTTGGTAAACAAAAGCAATTAACGTGCATGTCATATTGGGCGTTTGTTCGGCGCTCTGGCGCTCATGCCTGAGTTTAAGGTGGATGAACTAAAAGGGACCAAAAATCTAAGTTCACCAGACAGAGTGCAAAAATCTGGAGAAAAAAAACGCACACAAAAAAAATCTTGTTTTGTAAGATTTGTTTTGTTTGTTTTTGAAAGAAGTCTCTTATGCTCACCAAGGTGGCATTTATTTGATAAATACAGTAAAAGCGTTTTTAAAATTATTTTTCTATTTTAATTTATTTTACAAAGTAATTTATTCTTGTGATGGCAAACATGATTTTTAGCAGACTAAGATTTAGCAGACGATTAATCCAGTTTGAAGGGTCACATGGTGTTGAAAACATTTGTCTTGCTAAATATTTTTGTGCAAATGATCATTTTTTTCAGCATTCTTTGTTGGAAAGAAACATTAAAAAAGTGTTTACTGTCACTTTTAATCAATTTAATGCATCCTTACTGAATAAATTAATAAATAAATTAATAAATTAATCTTTCTGACCCCAAACTTTTGAACAGTACACTACTAATACTATTATTACTACTACACACACAACTTAGGATAGTGCTTGATAGCACTTGATAATTGTTTTTGTTCAGAACAAGTCAGGACAAGTAGCAAACCTGGGCAGTTTGCGGACACACCTTGAGTTCATACAACAACTCTTTCATTCTTCAAAAAGAGCAAACACAGAGCAAAATTAAAGCACAGCTGCCAGGCAGCAGACCACCACAGGAAATCTAAAAATATTTCATGTAGGAGAGAAAAATTATTCTTACAGAAGCGCATCTGACAGGACAAAAGCCGCCCCCTCACACACACACGCATCAATCTGCCAGTTTTTCCCCATTCTAATGAAGCCTTCAATTTCCTCTTAATGTACACAAAGCTGAGTGCATGTTGTGCGTGGGCAATCAGACACTGGAAACCTGAATGAGTAGATGGGGATACAACAGGAATGGCAGCGGGTGAGAGAACAAAACCTACTGTCCTTGTCTCTGGCTCTGTCAAGGTTCTCATTAACATGTGAAACTCATTTCTGCATTCGTGCAGCCCCCTACCCATCACCCACAAGCCCCTGTGCAAGAACCTCACTGATCAATGTACAGGGGGAGACAGCTGGAAACACTCGCACACACTAAAAAACACAACCAAACACAAACAAGTGAGAGAAAGGGAACTGAAAGAAAACAACAAGAGGGCAGAGACGTGCAGATGCAACAATACTGTCAAACGACAAAGCAGGCTCTCACTGTCTCACTGGTTCCGCATAGCATACACGTCTTTTGGATGGGAATATGGGGTGTTCTCAGCCTTGACCTTAAGTTTTTTAATTGCCATGCATGGTAGACAACATTTTTTTGTCTTGAGGTACTCCCATAGCCGCCCGCACCAGTAAGACAGAAGTACCCCTTCTTCATCAACATCAAATCTGAAATGTTAACTTAATTTGTATTATTAGTAACATAATAAAATGATTCACTTCAAACAACTGTAAACGATACTGTGAGTGAAAAATAGACACCATCCGACAGATAGATAGAAGAATCACGTTTTTTCTTTTTTTTCAAATAGAGATTACGATTCTCCCATGATTCTAAAGAGACAAACAAAATAACATGTAATTGACTAGAGGTTCTGACAAAATGTTAACTTTTTAAATTGTTATTTTAATTCATTAAAAAAATCAGTTTGAATAATCAATAAAGACTTCACTTGTTTCACAACTCGAGGAATCAGCGGTTTTGAATGAATCTCTTGAATGAATGATTCAATGACAAATACAGGGACTTTGTTAACAGTCACTTGTTGCTAAATAGTGGCGTAACAATGCAATTGATACAATCTTTATTTGAAGCGTCAAGTTCTTTCAGAATAGAAGGTGATTTACTGTATTTTGATCTCTACCATAGACATCAGTGTTTATATCCGAACTATAAACTATTATGACTATCCCAGTATTTCTGTGATGATTTGAATTATTTTAACAGCAATAATAATGTGTGGTTGAAAAGTTGTTGAAGCTGTTTCATACCTATAGGCTACATGACAACTGCTCTCTCTTGGTCAGCAGCAGTGCCAACAGAGATGCTCACTGTGATCAT